CATGGCTCTTTGGAGTTGGTCACTTCAGGTGGCTCTTCTGCTGAGTTCTCGGGGTTTAGCTCTCCTGCTTTATCTAAGCGAGCCGTTCGTATTCAGGGCGTGTCTGTCATCCAGGCGGCCAGCCTGTTGTGCTTCATTCCTCTTACACTGCGTGTAAGAGGAATGAAGGCGACGGTCATCGCCATTTCTTTTCCTTGGCTTTACCAGATGCCTTGAGGTGGACCTCTTCGGGTCAGCAAGGTCTCGGCGTCTCCCAATGTTTGTGACACCATTCCTCGACTGTAAGGTTTTCGCAGTGGATGCTTTTCGGCGGGCCTGGTTGAGGTGGGGGTTCCTGTACTACTTTACCCCAGTCCAGCTGTTGCTCCGGGTTTTGTCTTGGCTGGAATCCTTTCACGGGAGAGTTCTTCTCCTGGCTCCATGGTGACCTGCCCAGCCTCGGTTTCATGCGCTGCTTGCTCGGTATTCGAACCCAGGCATTTTTCCGCAGTTCTGCCTCTTTCAGCAGGTCGGTCTTGTGAGGTACCTTGCTGATTCGGCTTATTCCTCTGTGTTCCACATCTAGCATTTCTGACATACACGTATCACCATTTGTTTGGTGATCAGGTGGCTTCTTTGATGTGTCCCACCTGCGGTCTTGATTTCAGCGACAGTATGTTGTTTCATTGCGGTCTTTCCGCCATTTTCTTCTCTTTGTTGGGTTTCGTCGATTTCGGACCGGGCTCCTTTGTTCTTTTTCTCATGGCCTTTTCTAGATTGGCATCTCATGCCTAATACTGTTGCTTCTTATCATACCGCATTTGCGGAGCAACTGCAGCTTGCTTTCGGGGTGGATGTCACTTCCGCTGGATGTTACTGTTTCGTAAGCTTTCTTGTGCATTCTTTCACCTCTGGCCTGCTGATGTGCCACCTGAGCCTTCTTGGTCATTGGACAAGGTTCTTTTCTTTCTTTTCGATTTGTGGTAGCCCCTTCGGTACGTGATTGTTTTAGGGAGGTGTTGTTTTTGTTGGCCTTGGCCTCTGGGGGTCGGGTTCGGGACCTTCTTGCTCTTCTCTGACACTGGGAGGTTTGTTTTTTTGGTCCTGGTGGTCGTTTTGTTCATTTGCAGCCTTCTCCTTCTTTTCTGTTGAAGAATGAGACTGAGGGCTTCCGAAGGGGTCCGTTGGTTGTGGATGCTTGGCTGGTTTAGCCATGGGTGCATCACGTTCTGTGTCCAGTAGCTGCTTTACGTAGCTACCTTTGGGCTACCAGTTCTTTGTCGGTGGACACACTCTGGGTTGTTCGTTTCCTGGGTTCCCTGTTCGGGGCTCATGTTTCTCAGGTTGTCAGTGGTGTGATTCAGTCTATCCATCCTGCGGTCTACTCTTGAGCCCATGATGTTAGGAAGTATGGCACTCTTTTGGCTGTTTTTAGTAATATGTCTTGGGATGATATTTGGGTGCGGAGGTTTTGGAGGTCAAACAAGGTCCTTGCCCCCAAGGTATTTAGTGATGTCTCTTGGTCCTCTGTGGCCTTGACGTGTCTATTGCGGCTGTCTGTCTCTTCCTCACTTTCAGACGTGAGGTCCTGCAGCCTTCCTTGTAAGTCCCTGTTTGCCTTCTCTGTAGATAGCTTCAGGGAGCCGATGGAGCTCCCCACAGAAAACCAGCATTAAATATAATGAAACTCCCTGACCCCCCTTCCCTAGGTCGGCAGCTTTCATCGTTCTATAGTTGAATTGGTGGGCTGCCAGCTCACCCTTCCACTGCGGGTGGTTGAGGGGAGGGTAATTGGATGAAGCGTTGCTTGTTTTTCTTTCTGGGAGAGTTCTTTTTCTATTTTGAGGACATAGCTCTCAATTTTCAACCAGAGAGAAGTCTCTATTGATTCACCTACCTTTCTGGGTGCCTTTCCTGGTAGATGACAAAATGACACTTTAACGCTTAAACTGAGCATGGCATATATACGACAGGAGTAACGTGTCCCACCATGTGCATGACATAAATATACGACGTAGGGTGCCGGCCACAATTCAAATGGTCCTCGGCTACACAGGATTCACATCAGCTTCCTCAGGGCTCTTGTAAACAGACGCCATGTTTAAAAAGAAAATTGTGGGCAACATTCTCCAGTGTGAGAGCCACAGTACTGTGTGAGCAACCAAGGCTGGTGCAAGCAGCATGAGCTAACAGCACTGCTGTTCTGCTTGTGACCACAGCATCACCTAAAAATGTTAAAATAAATATGTAACTGCTATTATTTAGCAATGACAATATTACAGAAAACCCAACTGTGATAAAAATGACCAGGATTGTGATAATATAGTAGCAGGAGTGTTGTGATAATTAGCGCTGTGTGGGAGGAGTAATGCTGAGGGGGGTAGGGAGGTAGCATTGTGTGCTGAATCTGTGTGGCCACCTGTTGTGTGCGCTCACCATACCAGCTTAGTGGTTCGCTATGGTGAACACAAATGTAGATACAGTGCATCCTCACTCTAACGAACCCCGCTCTATCGAATTCCCGGATGATCCAAACAAATTGAATTCGGTACTAAATGTTCGGTGGAACATACAGATGTTCGATTAAGTGAGGATTGTTTGTTCAAGCGGTTACCGAGACTGAGCGAGAGGTGGCTGTCAGCTATGATTCACCAAAGTGCAAACAGTTATACAGCATTTTGGTTTGCTCACCTATTGTTTCCAGGGAGAAATGGTTGAAGGATGATGAAATGGTGTCATTGGTAAGGGTTTAGTGTCAGGGGGCAAGTGATGGAAGTTATTCTCATTGGAGACAGGTGGAGTTAAAGCGTTGTCAGAAAAGACTGGTGGTGTCCGTGGTAGAATCTGTTGTCAGGGGAGGCAAGTGGTGGAAGTTGTTGTCCGGGAAGACAAGTGGTGGAAGCTGTTGTCAGGGGAGGCAAGGGGTGGAAGTTGTTGTCAGGGCAGACAAGGGGTGGACATTGTTGTCAGGGGAGGCAAGTGGTGTCAGTGGTGGAAGCTGTTGTCAAGGAAGGCAGGTGGTGTCGGTGGTGAAAGCTGTTGTCAAGGGATGCAGGTGGTGTCGGTGGTGGTGAGATCTCGGCTACAGTAACTGGCAACACATGGCTGCCGCCACCTCCATGTTTCACTCACTGTCTGCTTTTTTCAATAAATTAGCTGAGAAAATGTTACCATTTCAGTTGTTTGTAACACTGTTCTATCGTATTCCATAATAAAAATGAAGAATTCATAATAAATGTGTCAGGGTGAGGGAGGATGTATTAGGAGGGTTAGGAAGTCAGCTAGCCTCTAAGGGAGTGTCGGGCGGTGTGTTGAGTGAGACGCCTTCACCAGGTCTGGCCCGCGTGACCAGCTGACTGCTGCCCACCTGGCTCCCCGCTGCTGCCTCAATACACCCTGTACTAAACTCAAGAATATGTTACCATTTCAGTTGCTTGAAACATTGCTTTATTATATTACGTAGTCAAAATGAAGAATTCGTAATACAGTAAAGGGTGGTGTCAGTGGTGGTGGTGGTGTCAGCCTAGTTGATCAGCAACAGCCTGGTTGATCAGTCCAGCAACCAGGAGGCCTGGTCGACGACCGGCCCGGGAGCACTAAGCCCCGGAAGCACCTCAAGGTAACCTCAAGGTAAGGTCAGAGAAATCTGTTGGTAGGGGATGGTGTCAGAGAAGTCTGGTGGTGGGGGATGGTGTCAGCGAAGTCTAGTGGTGTCAGTGGTGGCTCCCTGAGGATCTAGGAGGCAAAGACACTCATAGTTGTCAGGGTATTTTGTTTGTTTGCAGCCAGCTCCACCTTGGGAGGGCCACACCTATTGTCAAGAGGTGACCAGAAGCATTGGTTCAATCCAGGAATTCCATGTTAGCCAGAAATTTTTGTTGTGATAGAGAAGTAAAAAATCTGAAACTGCACCAGCAAGTTACGAAATTACCAGAGCCAGAATATGTAATTACACTACACATTTGAACTATGCAACTACATGCATAAAAATTCAGTGTTGAATGTAATGAAATGCCAATTTCTGGGTGAGCCACAGTGGTTCACTAAAGCTACTATACACTGGAATGGTAGTCTATTAGATCGTATGAGCTGTGGAGTTGTATAAGCCTACCAGACCAGTGTCAGAACAAAACAAAACAAATCTTCCTTAAATTAATTTCATGATAACATAGCACCCTCACAGAGACCCCAGGTAACAGTGACATCATATTTTTGTCACCTCAACAGGGAAGGCAACCAGAAAGTCAGCAAGTCAAAACAAACTACTGCTAGCTTCAAAAAGAGACAGAAGCCTCGAAACTTGTCTAAGGAACCTCCCCAACTATGTAAATAAATGACCAAACCCTCTTGGAAGTATTGTGAGCTCATTTACCCCACCTCCCCAATCATTTGGAGGTAGGTAGCTCACCGGCCACTGGGGTCTGGGCTCCCACTTCTGGGTTGATCCATACATCTGCTTTAATGACTTGGAAGGAAGGTTGGGGACAGGAAGTCACTGGGGCTCAACCAGAAATTGACATTTCATTACATTCAATGATGATTTTCTGGGGGGGGGAAGGGACCCCTTATGGCTTCTTGAAGCTACCTACCCATGAAGAAAGAAAACATACAGGAACTCCCAGAAGAATGTGTACTAGTAAAATATTGAAGTAAAATATGGTAATAAAAGGATTTGCCTAATATTCACAGATACAACAGATATGAATCCTGACAAATTACTGGATACCGTAATAGAAGTGGGATCGCTGAAATGTTTCAAGCAAAGTGTACACATATACACGAATGCGTTAGTGAATATAAATAGGAGCCGTCCTCATACGGGCCAATAGGCGTTCTGCAGTTTTGTGATGTTCTTCTGTTCATATGCTTGATGAAATGTGTGTTAGAGTTCATGTGGATGTTTTTATAGAAAGGAATTTGAGCCCTCTGCTGCATAAAAGCTTAAAATTAGATTTGTTATTTGTGTGATAGTAGGAAAGGTTATATTTCTTAATTTCATGATAAACTTGTCCATCTTTCAGCAGTTGAATGGTCACTGGGAGAATTCCAATCGCCTATGGCCTTAAACTACAATGAAGGCGGCTATCCAGTGTGTAAAGTGTGTGGGAAAGTCTTCAAGCACCAGGGATCCCTCGTTGCTCACTACCAGGCATGTATTGCTTTAGTCTTGTTATTAGTATTAGTCCTCGTTTTCTCTCTCTGCCTCTCCTTTTCTTTCATTCTTACTTTTCTTCTTTGTTTATCAGTCTTTTGAGTAATAGATTTACCTTAGTTTAGCGTTTTCTGCACAGCATACCCATCCTGTGAGCGGCACTACTCCCTTTACCCATTCAGTGAGTGGCATAATACCCCATACCCATCCTGTGAGTAGCACTACTCCCTATACCCATCCTGCAAGTGGAACTACTTATACCCATTCAGTGAGTGGCACAACACCCCATACCCATCCTGTGAGTGGCACTACTCCCCCATACCCATCCTGTGAGTAGCACTACTCCCCATACCCATCCTGTGAGTGGCACTACTCCCCATACCCATCCTGTGAGTGGCACTACTCCCCATACCCATCCTGTGAGTGGCACTACTCCCTATACCCATCCTGCGAGTGGCACTACTCCCCATACCCATCCTGTGAGTGGCACTACTACCCATACCCATCCTGTGAGTGGCACTACTCCCCATACCCATCCAGTGAGTAGCATTACTCCCCATACCCATCCTGTGAGTGGCACTACTCCCCATACCTATCCTGTGAGTGGCACTACTCCTCATACCCATCCTGTGAGTGGCACTACTCCTCATACCCATCCTGTGAGTAGCACTACTCCCCATACCCATCCTGTGAGTGGCACTACTCCCCATACCCATCCTGTGAGTGGCACTACTCCCCATACCCATCCTGTGAGTGGCACTACTCCTCATACCCATCCTGTGAGTAGCATTACTCCCCATACCCATCCTGTGAGTGGCACTACTCCCCATACCCATCCTGTGAGTGGCAGTGGAATAGGCTGCAGAGCCATATACAGTAATGGGTTCGGGAACTGAAGACCGAAATTAATATGGCTAAACAAGTCTTCATAACCCAAGAGCAATTCTCTCCCTCTTTTTTTTATATATGTAGTGTGTGTACTCACCTAATTGTACTTACCTAATTGTGCTTGCGGGGGGTTGAGCTTTGACTCTTTGGTCCCGCCTCTGAACTGTTAATCAACTGGTGTACAGATTCCTGAGCCTACTGGGCTCTATCATATCTACATTTGAAACTGTGTATGGAGTCAGCCTCCACCACATTACTTCCTAGAGCATTCCATTTATTAACTACTCTGACACTGAAAAAATTCTTTCTAACGTCTCTGTGGCTCATCTCTGGTTCTAACTGGTTCCAGCTCTGTGGTTCTAACGTCTGTGTGTGTGTGTGTGTGTAATTACCTAAGTGTAGTTACAGGATGAGAGCTATGGTTGTGGTGTCCCGTCTTTCCAGTACTGTTATATAACGCTTTGAAACTAATGACGGTTTTGGCCTCCACCACCTCACTTAGCTTGTTCCAAACGTCTACCACTGTTTGCAAAATGAATTTTCTAATGTTTTTGGCACCTTTGTTTCCTTCGCTTAAGTCTGTTTCCTCTTGTTCTTGAAATTCCAGGTCTCAGGAATTCTTCCTTGTCAATTTTATAGAGTCCTGTTACTATTTTGTACGTAGTGATCATATCGCCTCTTTTTCTTCTAACTTCTAGTTTTGGCATATTTAATACCTCTAACCTCTCCTCGTAGCTCTTGTCCTTCAGTTCTGGGAGCCACTTAGTGGCATGTCTTTCCACCTTTTCCAGTTTGTTGGATGTGCTTCTTAAAATATGGGCACCATACAACTGCTGTATATTCTATCTTTGGCCTAACAAAAGTCATGAACAATTTCTTTAGTATTTCCCCATCCGTGTATTTAAAAGCAATTCTGAAGTTAGAAAGCGTAGCATAGGCTCCTCGCACAACATTCTTTATGTAGTCCTCCTTTTCTATCTAGAACTACCCCTAGATGGTTCTTTCTTCATTAGAAGTCTTTAAAGATTTTCCTCATAAGTTATAGGTTGTGTGGGGGTCTATGTTTTCCTATTCCACATTCCATAACATGGCATTTATGCACATTAAATTCCATTTGCCAAGTGGTGCTACATATACTTATTTTGTCCAGATCTTCTTGAAGGGCATTACAATCATCTAAGCTTCTTATCCTTCCTGTTATCTTAGCTTCATCAGCAAACATGTTCATATAATTCTGTATTCCATCTAGCCGATCATTTATGAAATGAAATGAAATGATCATTTATGAAATGAAATGAAATGAAATGATCATTTATGAAATGAAATGAAATGATCATTTATGAAATGAAATGAACATCACCGGTGCAAGCACTGAACCCTGTGGTACACTTGTGACATTTCTCCAGTCCGATACATTGCCTCTGATTACTGCCCTCATTTTTCTATCAGTAAGAAAATTTTTCATCCATGTTAGAAGCTTACCTATCACCCCTCCAATATGTTCCAGTTTCCAGAAACTCTTATGTGGAACTCTGTTGAAAGTCTTTTTTAAGGTTCAGATAGATGCATTCAACCTAACCATCCCTTTCCTATAAAATGTCTGTGACTCGATCATAGAAACTGAGTAAATTCGATACACAGGATCTTCCTGATCGAAAACCATACTGTCTGTGTGATATTACATCGTTTCTCTCCAGGTGTTCCACCCATTTAGTTTTAATTATTAACTATTACACCTGTCAATGATACAGGTCTATAATTGAAAGGGGGGGGTGGTCTTCCCTGCTGCCACTTTTGTAGATTGGAACTATGTTAGCCTTTTTCCACAAATCTGCTATGACTCCTGTACACAAGGATGCCTGAAAAAATCAGATAAAGTGGAATGATGAGCTCAGGTGCACATTCTCTCAGAACCCATGGTGAAACTCCATCTGGGCCAGTTGCTTTGTTCTTAGCTCCAAGAGCATTTTTTTCACTTGTCTCTAGACACCTCTATGTACTCTATGTTGTTCTCTTGAATTTTTATTGTCTGGTTCCCTGAAGATTTCATTTTGTACAAACACACTTTGGAACTTTTCGTTTAATGTTTCACACATTTCCTTTTAATTTTCCGTGAAACTATCTCCCATTTTCAACCTCTGAATATTATTCTTTACCTGCAGCTTACTCTTAATGAATTTATAGAAAAGCCCTGAATCTGATTTACTTTTGTCTGCTATACCGTTCTCAAAGTTCCTTACTGCCGTGTAGTTATTTCTCACATCTTTGTATCGCTGGTATGTTTGAGGGTTTGGCCTCTTCCTATAATGATACCATGCTTGTGTCTTTTAATCTCTAGCCATCTCACAATTTCTGTTGAACCAACCCTGTTTCCTAGGTCTACATCTCTGTTATGGTATGAATGTTTGTGTGCCTTCATCGTATATTTTGCAAAATTTGGCATTCATCTCATTTACATCCTTGTCTAGCAACAAGTCTGTCCAATTATACCCATGAAAATTTTGTCTAAGTTCCGCATAGCATCCTCTCTTGAAATACGGTTTATCAATTATTTCAATGTCCCCATTCTCTACTAGATTATATCGCAAAGCATATTTAATGTCCAACAGGACATGATCACTCTTATCCAAGGGAGGAAGGTACTGGATGTCAAATACCTCTTCTTCTTTCCTTGTGAATATTAGCTCCAGTTCTGTCGGAACATCCCCTTCCCTCATTCTTGTGGCCTGCTTGACGTGTTGATACATGAATGTCCCCAAAATGAGATTTACAAATCTGCCTGTCCAAATGTCCTCCATTCTTGCTTCATAGGCCTCCCAGTCTATTGCCTTAAAGTTGAAGTCCTCCAGTACCTACAAATCGGGATTTATCTTTGTCTGCTCGTACCATAATCTCTCATGACCATTATGAGGCCCTCTTGTTTGTCATCCAGTTCTTCCTTTGTCCATGTGTTGCTTGCTGGTGGGCATTTACAATTATCAGCTTATCATCCTGATTCCAGACCTGCAATACCATTGGTCAACATTTTGAGGGTTTTCAATTATTAACTCTCTTACCTTAAGGTGTTCTTTCACCAGCACAGCCACTCCTCCCTCCCTCCCAAGTTTTTCTGTCATGTCTCCAAACTGGGAATATAACCTCATTTAAAATATTTTCTTCAAGTTTTGTCTCTGTTAATGCAACAATATCTGGGACTTTGAGCTGAATTATATCCTTCAACTCCAATATTTTTTTTATCTCGCTCCATCTATGTTGGTATATACTATTTTCAGGAACATGTTCCCCTTCCCATTGTTCCTTACACCTCTTCCTCTAATGATTTTGTTGTTTTGTCTTTATGTAACATTTTGCTAGCTTTCCAGTCCCTGACACTTTGTAGAAAAAGAACTCCTTTTTCTTCATTTTTATCCCCATTTAGACGTTTCGCTTCAATGAGGTTCATTTTCAGCTTTTCTCTGTCTTCCTTTGAGAGGTCTTGTCTTATTGACCAAAGTTTGCCATCCTCATCACTCTGCAATTTCCTGGCATTTCTAAGCACTTCCATCATGTGTTTCACTCCATTAAATGTCATCTTTAAGGGGCGGTTCTAGTCTTTCTCATACAGTATTTACCTATCCTCCTAAAATCAGACATGTTCCTTTGCATTTAGGCCTTCTCCTAGTCCTACTATTTTCTCTTATGATTTTCATCTCTTCTGCGGCTCTGTCCACCCTAGATGAAATTTCCTTCTCAAAACATCCAAAAATTATTATGGACTTCTATCTGCAGTGTTTTGTACCAGTTTACTGTTGGTTACCAGTTCTTTCCTAATTGCTTGCCTAAGTTCCACTTCTTGTTTGTCATTTCTGGTTTTGACTTCCAAACACCCTTCCTTAATCGTCTCTTTCTCTTTCACAACTTGCGCATACGTTTCTTTTAGTTCTTCTTTATACTTTTCTAGTTCTTTATTAACCTCCTTTATGTGATTGTTAATGAAGTTTCCAGTTGCATATCCTTGCCTAACACTGTTAGCCCTCAGGGTCCCTTGGAGTTGTTCACCATATGAGTCTATTTTCTTGTTTATTTCTTCAAAGTCATCACTATTCACTTTCCATGCCTCGTTTTCTTTCACTAGTTCCTTAATGTGTGCTTCCTGCATATTTACCTTATCAGTCAAGCTGGTAATTTCCTTGCCTTGCTGGAAAATTACCTTTGACCTTTACCTTAATTAACTTTGAAGTTACAAAACTCAATCTTGAGACCTTCATTTTCTTTTTCTAATTTAATTACATTTTCTTCATAATTCTCTAGCATGTCCTCAATAATCACTAACCTGCCAAGAAAACCACCTTTCATTATATTTTGTACTGAGAATCCTGCAAAACATTTCTTTTGTTGGTAACAATCGTATAAGGAAAAGGATGACCCCGTAGCCAACTATATGCCAGAGCCGTCGTGTGATCAGTTGACCTGATCTCCCGTGTATCAACCTGTTGAGCGAACAAGTTTCAGATGCGAATCGGCTTAGAAATGAATGATCGCTGATGGAGTGATGTTATTCAGAAAGGCAGTTCCAGCATGAGACTATTGAAGGTTGAGAGCCTAGTGCTAGAGGTGGCAACTACTGGTTGTCTACGGAGTTGGGCCTGGTGCAGAACTTTGAGGATGTTGGCCTTGTACATAACAGTAAGACCAACATCATCACGCCGGTGTTGCAGGCTCTGATGTCTAGACCATTCCCACCAGACTAGAGATGAGCCTTCTTGCATGGCTCTCCACTTTGTCCAAAAGTCTAATGAATGATGGGAGGGAAGGCAATCCAGGAAAGAGGTGCACACTGTAGATGAGAACAAACTTCTGCTTCATACAAGGTTTTGCAGCCGCTGCTGTGAAGGTGTGAGATGTACCGTAAGGTTGTAAGCTTCCTGACTGCCTTTTAGGCCAGGCTGAGCACGTGGCTCTTCTTTGTCATTGAAGAGTTGAACTTCATTCTCAAAATGTCAATGTCATCTGTTAACTCTAGGGGTTTTGCCACCAATTTGCAAACCTGTCTCATTTGCCATGTGCAGTCTAGTTATCATCATCACTTGTGTTTTCTCAGCCTCAAATGTGACTTGCCATCTCCTTCCCCAGGTAGAAATCGCTGAAAGTTAGTGATTGATGAAACTTGTAGCGATTGACATTTTTCCTTTCTTTATGTAAAGGTTAGAGTGCAGTCATCAGCATAGGCTTGAGCTTCAGTAATGAGATAAAAGTAGATCATTGAAGTAAACATTCCACAACAGAGGGCCAAGCACACTACCCTATGGAATGCTGGCACCAATTGAGTGGCTTATGGATTCTGCTCCATTGAGGGTTACTCTTAGAGTTCGTTCTTGAAAGTAGTCTTTTATTACTCTAAGATGGAGCCTGATATGCCTAGTGCTTGAAGATTCACTTCTAATCCAGAGGTTATCTTGAGATGATTTCGGGGCTTTTAGTGTGCCCGCGGCCCGGTCCTCGACCAGGCTTCCACCCCCAGGAAGCAGCCCGTGACAGCTGATTAACACCCAGGTACCTATTTTACTGCTAGGTAACAGGGGCATAGGGTGAAAGAAACTTTGCCCATTGTTTCTCTCCGGCGCCCGGGATCGAACCCGGGACCACAGGATCACAAGTCCAGTGTGCTGTCCGCTCAGCCGACCGGCTCCCCCAAAGTGCCAGAGTGCCAGACTTGATCAAAGGCTCCTGATATCTCTAAAGCAACAACATAGCAGATCTTGTACTCATCCAGTGACTGATGCCACTTAGTGTAGAGATTTAGCAAAAGATCAGCAGCAGATCGGCCTTTTCTAAAACCATACTCTACTGTTGATCACATATTAGCCAATAATGATAAAAAAATTATGTCGTTTGCTGAGCAATTAATGATTCGAGAATTTTACCAGTAATGGAGAGCAGGGACATTTGTTTGTATTTACCAACCACTGAGCGGCAGGTCTTTTTTTGTACTGGAACAACAACTGCCTTCCCATAAGGAGGGCCAAATTCCTTGAGCTAGGCAAAGTTGGAAGAGGCATGTGAGAGGTGTAGCCATCAGGTCAGCACAGCTGTGTAGTAGTCTTACACTGACCTTATCTGGTAGTCCAAACACAGTGCTTGTGTTTAGCATTTTAAGGAGATGCGAGAACTTTAGCCTGCTGTATAACCACTTCGGTCATCTTAGACACAGTGCTTGAAGCAAGATGTGGAGGCTGGCAATTCAGGATCAGGGACCTGCATCTTGACAGCAAAGTGATTTGCCAGGAGAACCCCTTTCTCCTGATTGCTGATTGCGACAGTTCCATTCCCCCGGTTTAGACGTGGGATTGTGACCTCGGATAAATATCCCTGCTGATCTTTAACCAGGGACGACTAGACCTTGGATCCAACTCTTCTGGATTCGAGTTTTCTTCGAGTTTCAGATTCCCATCTAAATATAGCCCACTTTTGAACTTCTTTCACTTTGACAAGATCGTTTATAAATGTTTCTGTTATGAGCCGAGGGATGCCTTTTAAATCTCCTCCAGGCTTTGTTTTTGGCCTCGGCTGCCATCTGACAGCAATATCCAAACCAAGGCTGATCAGTAGGCTTGGTCACATGCTGCTGGTGAGGGATATGCCTGTGCTGGAGTTCCAGTATATGATGCAAGGTAAATGCATATTTTGAAAGATATACAGTATCTGACATTTGGGCCTGGAAATTCTTTCCTCAGTTGATTTAAATAAAAAATGCATCTTGTTCTAATTTTTCTTTTGCCACATCACATGCTATTGTCATACTAGTTTTTCAATATAGCATAGTACTCCTTACTCTATTGTTTTGATTTTCCTGCAGTAAGGATTATAGGAAGGGGAAGGCAGCCTTCTATTTTTCTATCATTACCTTGACTCGAGGTATTATATATTGCAGGTATATGATCAAATTGTACACAAGATGGTTCAACGAAGCTCATTTTCTGATTGTCAAAACTATATATATTGTTAGGTTATAATGTATAATGCATAGCCTAGGTTAGGCTATGCAGGCTTGTTTGGGTTGGGGATAGATTACCTGTACTTTGAATTAGGTTAGTTCAGTTTTAAAATCTTGTGGCGAACAATTTTGTGTATGATGCGACTTGTATTTGTACTATGGTGTTAGTTTCTTCAATAGATAACCCTAGTATAGATCAAAAACTCTCCCTTAATATGATGTTATCATTTACAAATTCTCACTTCTATACCCTACCTTCCTTAAGTCATTCCATACCATAGATGTGGTATATGATAATGTTAAGAATATGCTAAATAGACTTAAATGACTTATTACATTGCAGGTGCATCAATTACGAACCAAGTGTCCCGTGTGCAAAAAGGTGCTGTCCCGCCATTATCACATGAAGGTGCATTTGTTAACTGTGCACAAGGTGCCTGACTCTGAGATTGAGGGCCTTCTTCGAAGTCAAAACATTGCCTGAAACTGGATGCTGAAGAAATTAGGTTGTCATTCAGACCCTGTATATTTTTCTACTGTTGACCAATTGGAAGCATTCAGCATTAACCTGTTGCTTGTATTGGGTAATATTAAGAGTAATCTGTTAACAATATTTATATTGTAGCTAAAGGTGACTTAATATGTGGTGGCTTTATATGTATAGCCCTAACTGTATACTAGGTGCTAGAACTTCGAATGTGGATCTCAGATGTGTATCGTATTATTTGTTTCAAAGTTTATCAGTACAGTACACAGTTTTTAAAATTTAATAATTGATCAACTGTTAATGTTAAGTTTATTTTTCAGATGATCTATAAATAACATACGAGAAAGTGTAATTTCTTGGCAGATCTAAATGGACAAACTTGCTAGCCGTATGACATACCAATCCCTCGCAGTATCCAATCCTTTTCAGATAATAAAGAAAATGTATTGGAACACTGTAAAATTAAACATTTATGGCGAGTCAAGGGTTTTTAAATAAAAAAATATAGCAAGTTGTTATAGTGTACAGAATAAGAATTTATTAAAGTTGCCAAGGTTGTTTGTGTAATAAGGACATGGTAGCTCTTTCAGTGGTAGGCAATATGTGAATTAAGTTATTTAAATATTGATGACTATATATATATATATATATATATATATATATATATATATATATATATATATATATAGTCATCAATATTTAAATAACTTAATTCACATATTGCCAATCTTGCCATTATATATATATATATATATATATATATATATATATATATATATATATATATATATATATATATATATATATATATATATATATATAATGGCAAGATTGACTTGTTCATGTCAAAAATAATGTTGATGAGGGGGATTTATTTTATTTTTTTTATGAAGGGGATTTCTTCATTGAAATGAAGAGCTGCAAGAGTAATGTCAGCAGAGCAAGTATGCACTTAAAGTAATTCAAATGTTTAGAGTCAGTTAAAGTTGAAAACAAAATTTGAACTTTAGAGTACAGTGGATGTGATAGAGCTAGCATGTTCAAGTGGAAAGAGGATCTATTATTGATTAGATGGAATGTAAACGCTTTCTGCTGTTGAATGTGGACTGCAATGTGTTGAGCACTTATTTTGATTGCTAAAAAGATTCCTGCAGCTGAATGGTAATTCAGTTTTTATTTATAATTCTATGAAATATTGGAACTACAGTACTGATTAAGGCCAAGATTATTGTGTCAACCATTTGTGGATGTCTGACAGCTGTCCCTGATGCCCCTGACAGGATGTCAGGGACATCAGCTGAGTGGACAGCACTTCGGATTCGTAGTACTGAGGTTCTGGGTTCGATCTGCAATGTAGGCAGAAACAAATGGGCATAGTTTCTTTCACCCTGATGCCCTGTTCACCTAGCAGTAAATAGGTACCTGGAAGTTAGACAGCTGCTTCCTGGGGGTGTGTAACAAAAAGGAGGCCTGGTCAGGACAGGGCCGCGGGGACGCTAAGCCCCGAAATCATCTTGAGATAACCTCAAGATATGTCATTGGAAAACCTGCCTTTCTCCCTAGACAAACAAACATTTTGCCATTGTAATCTTTCAGTTCACTGCTGTACAGATTGAAAGTACATTTGGTGATTTTTTTTTTTTTTTAAGTGAGAGGCATGGCCATTACATGTACAGCATCATAATTTTGGAGGCACAGTGTGATACGGCTCGGATACAAACAGTAGGCGAGAAACTTTCAGTTACCATTATGTACCGGTATCTATTGGCACCATGAGCCAGGCAGGCTCATGTATTTATAGGCATCAACCACTCACAAATGGTTGAGAAGATCACTTAATATTAGAAAAAGGGTTTAGATAATTATATCATGAGTATGAAATGGATAGGTGGATTGTCTTGTTGAATTATTGAATAAATGCTCAGTATGGATGATTTAGAAACTAGTTAACAAAAAGTTACCATGGCTTATATTAGTTTTGTAAAAGACAGAGAGCACATCATCTGTTGAACAAGATTGACTTTAAATACGTGAAAAGTTCAACATATATTATCTTAAGTGGGTGTTGGAGAAATACTTTTGTATGGGTCACTATACATGCTACAGGATATTTTAGCAGTTGTTGGGGAATAGAATAAATATACATATACAGTAAAGTAGCACCTCCAAAATCTGGATCATATTCTAGACTATCCATATCTTTTAATTGCTATTTTTGGTTTATTTACCACCAAATTTTCCAGATGTTCTTACAGCAATTGAGGACATTTATTATGCATATTTAAAAATTTTAAACTTTTGCAGTCACCCTAAACTGACCTTGAAGTTCTCAATGCCCATGGTTAATGTCATTCTCTCGGCTACAAACTGTAACTGTCCACCACCAGAAGCCAACCCCAGGCTACAGTGCTACGCAAACATTTGTAATAGGCATCATCCAAATCCTCATGCTTGGAAGGTTTCAGTGTTTTTGTTATTTGTCTTTTCACCATTGATCTTCAAATTATAAGGTCTCCTTCCTAGATTTTTTTTTCTTCTAATACATAGTAAGGAAGCTTCTTTTACCATTGTCCCATTGCTTAGAGATCCAGATTTGGGAGCGTGTTCTCTGTATAGCTAATTTTTGTTCATTGCTGCTTGAAATTACAGTATTTAAAACTTGTTATTTTTAAGTAATTACTAGCAAGTATTGTAGTACCAGCATTTTACCTCAAGACCCCTTTTAGTTGTTTTTCCAAGAGATGGTATGCACTGTTGACAGTACAGTTTAATGTTATAATAATTTGAGCATTATTTGACCCACTTAGTGTAGTACTGTACTATGTTGTGTGCTGTGAACACTGATGGTGCAAGGTATTTATATCCTATACATGGTGCAATTATTTGTTATTTTGTGTAATGCAATATAATGATTATTAGGACTACCTGTAGTTGTAATCTTGTTTCCAATATTACTACCTTTATGAAAATCTATATTATATTTTTCATCTCTGTTAACTGTGTTTGTTATATAGGTGCTATTTGAAACAGATTAAATGATGCTATAATATGGAAATTGAATTTATCTTATTTCGTGCTATGGCCATAAGAATGAAAGGCTACCTTTCTTGCAACAAAACATTCCATTTATAATGTACTTAAGGTAAAATATAATTAGAATTTACTCCAAAGTTAGAAGTTATTTTGTATATAATTATAATGATCCTGCCTGGTTTTTATCAACAGTTTTGTTTCTTGTAGCTATTTATAGTAAACTGTAATTTTGGCTTCTTGACATTGAAAAAAAAAACTGGTTAGTATAGATCTCCTTACATTGATTTTAGTCACACATGTTACCAATATGATTGTACACATATTTTATTATATACATTAGCTTTTCTAGATTGCTTAGCCCACTTTTTATTACATAGGATGGAACCAGATTCTGAACTTTGTAGTGAGGGCATTTTAACTTGTGAGCTTCCCATTTGTGATCATTGAATTCACAAATTAACTTGTGCTCTTAAATACATGTACAGTATATAACTTCAAGATGGGATTGTGTCGTTGGTTAATCCCCTTAGCAACTGTATACTCGAGATTTTTGCCAGTAGGTAAGTTATTCAGGCATGTAATGTTGCCAGTTTTTTTATAGTTTTGTCACAACATAGCATTAATGATGGTGATGAGTGGGTTGCACTATGCACAACCCTTCCCACTTTGCCTCCCACTTTTCATACATCTTATGTCAATAGTAATGTTGGAAGCATTTGTTACCAATAGTTGTGATTCCTGTGCTCTGAAAAAAAAAAAAAAATAGGGTGACAGGACAGCAAAGGAAAATAGGACAAATATATGAACAACAAGAATAGCTTTCAACATCTTTTAGTCAGATATTTTTTCTTCCTTGTTCATTTTGTAGCCTACTTGGTATCTACAAATCTCAAGACACAATATTTCACCAACTTTTTATCTCTAATTTTTCTAACACGCCCACCTCTTTCCATGTTAATTGAGATACCAGTAAATAATAGCCAGTGTGGCTGTATTTGTTTTGTTTATAACCATTACTGCATATTTTATGGCAGCCTAACAAATGTTTGGAATTCTACACAAAATATTTCAGATGTTGAATGCTAGAACATTTTGAGCTAATAACTGAAATATTACATAAAGTTTCTGCATGTACCACTTTGCTTTAATTATTGTAATTCAGTTCATAATTTGAGAGAGTAATTACAGTGAAGTGTTATCACTGTAACCTACTAAAGTACTGTACAGCCATGCCAGTCTTCAGCTTTACCACAATACTGCTAAATGGTGTATTCTTATGTTAATATATAAAAGATTGGCAGTCCATTGCTTAAATATTTGCCTTATTAAATTGAGTGCAAGTACAGATCAAAAGGTAGAAATGAACCATGACGTTAATCGCGCTACCGAGTTGAGAAGATTCTCTCAAGAAACACTTGTGAAAGTGAAAAATTCTGAATATGTACATTCAAAAGCATTTGATAAAGAATTTATTTATAAAATCAATGTTACATAGAACTGGTGTTGCTTTCTTTAATGTTGCCAGGCCCCAGGTCCAACTAAGAGTACATAGGACTATTTGTTAGTGATACAGTAGTGAGGTTTACTTCACATTGCAGTAGAACCTACTACCTTACTGAAAAGAAGTTTCTACCTCACACTGAACAGAGTACTCAACTGTTGTGGTGATTAAGTATTTTCATCAATATTTAGGATGTGTATTTCTGAATTTGTTAGTCTTCAATTTTGGCAAACTCTGTTACGGTAGACAGTATTTTCCATGTCACGTTAAATGTTAACTTGCTTGTTCTGCCTTTGTTTTATATAGACAGCCCCAACAGATTAATATTGAAAGCCTTTAATTGTGCATTTTTCTATATTATTGACTTTATTTCATGCCAACATGCTGCACATCTTCCTTAGGTTACTTGTTTATGAACTGGTTCTCAGTAGCTGTGTGGTGCGTGGGTGCTGGTACAACACCACAAATTTGCTAGGCCTCTGGACTTGCACAGGCCTATCAAATAACAGGGGAAAGTATCTTGTGTGTTTAGAGGTGAGGGAAGCATGGAAATCCAATGTCAACCTCATAACTAAGTGAACCTGCCTAGATAGTATAAGCAAGCAAAACAAAGTACACATGTTGAAAAAATATGGAAACAAGGAAAGCAGAAGTTTGCCCAATAGATACTAGCTTATAGTTTATAAATATTGAGCAAACTATTGCTCCATCTAAACTTTCTGGATGTATTTACTCTGTTGATCACAAATCCTCATGCATTCCCTGGTGTTCAGTATGCCTGTCATGTCCAGAGCCCTGGTAGTTTTGCGGATGTCTGTAGTACCAGAGCCAATGTTAGTGAGGCCACCAAAAAACAAAACAAAAGTTTCATTACATTCAAGTCTTCATTTTTTCCATTTCATTGAGGTTGAAACTAAAGATGCTGATGGTTGTGTGATTGTAGTGGTGATGGGCAAAAGCAATAAGAATATAAAGTAGATTATTACTGTAATTTATGTACAGACATAGAATAAGGAATATGATGTAAATTATATGACTGGCATGTTTTAGCCACTTTGTTATAAATACTACAATGTCTTTCTCAAGTACAAAACTTTGTCAAGATCTTGTATATTGCTTGTAAAAACATCATTAGTGTTAAGACTGATCATATTGTATTATTTTTATGTTTTGCACATATATAAAGAATTCTTATATTAGCAGTATTATTGAGTAAACAAAAACCCTATAATCTTGAGGAAACATAATATATTGAACATTTGTATTGTCATGTGCTTGGCTTGGGCTGGAAGGCAGCATTAAAATGTGACATCCTCTTTCTACTAGTGTACTTTGTTCATTAACCCCCCTCATGGGTGTTGCCTTTGGTTTAGAGTTAGTGTGCAACTTTAGGAGTAACTGTCCTTGGGGAAAACTGTGTCCTGTCCAAGTATCCCTGCACCAGTGTAATGCTTGTTGGAGGTTTGGCCATGTGGCTTCAACTTGCCAAATTACTCTGTTTTTTTGGCTCTGTGGTGCATCCAACCATGTAAACACTTTCCGGTCCCCAGTGCACCCCCTAGCCTACCTTTAGGTGCACCGAGTGTTTCCTGGGAGCTTGCAGCCAGACTCAACTATGTATGCTCTTTCCAGTTTTCTCCCCTCAATTTTCATGTTACAACATTCATTTTGGTATCTTTTAGTTTGCAATAGAATTCACCTCAGGGATATGTACATATGAAAGTTCAAAATCCCAGCGTGCCACCCGCACCAAACTCTCAAATCGGTCGAGGGTTACCCGTGAGCGAGCAACCTCACCAAAATGTCTACTCTTTTCGGGATTCTCACCTCAATTCTCATGCTATGTCGTTCATTTTGGTATCAATTTGTTCAAAATAGAATTCCCTACAGGGGTATATGCATATAATGTCAAACATCCCAGCACACCCCACCCGCAGCAAAGGTGAAAGTCGGCTGTGGGAGAATATGCATTTGCACACTTGCTACACCTGCACACAAATATGTACAGTATACTCTCTTCAGTTTTCTCACCTCAATTTTTTGTGTTATAGTATTCTTTTTAGTATCTTTTTGTTCACAACAAAATTCCCTACAGGGATATATACATATGAAGTCCAAAATCCCAGCAGTCCCCCCCCCCCCTTTCCCCCCCCAGCAAAGGTGAAAGTCGGACAAGCATTTGCTGTGAGCGAGCACGCTTTTGCACACCCATTACACATGCACACAAATGTGTATAATCTTTTTAGTTTGACGACGTCAATTTCTGTGTTACATCGTTTATTCTGGTATCAATTTGTTCGCAATAGAATGCTCTACAGGTAAAAAAGGCTGTACTTGCCACCCAATGATGTTTTAGGCCATGAATTGAGCATTACGTTGAACCACTCCTCATGCTCCAGGAAACTGTTTCCTGAAGTTGCTCCACCAATGTTTTATAGGTGGAGTGGATGGTGGGTAAGCATTACTGCTTATCCACCCAGTATGTCTTATTGCAATGGTACAAGCCGGAGCATGGTGCAGCACACAGTGCCACATCACACAACTTGCACTTATATTTGGTGTCCTTCCTTTTACCATTTTTGTTGCTAACACGACACTTTGGCCTTTTCTGGATGTGAAATGGGGGAATTGTCCAAGTTTCTGTTCAGACGTTCTTATTAACAATACGAGGGTTTCTCCTAGTAGTAGCACCCGAAGGAATAATCTGACTCGTCTTCCGAGTCAGATGATGATTTGTCATGTCGAGGTGAAGATGGGAATAGTGGCCACCTCACACCTGATGGTCCGGGTGTTGCAACATTGTCACCAGTAGATGTGCTCCCACAGTCATGTACATCACCAACATGTCTGATGACATTTTGGAAAGGCCACTTCTTAGTTAAAATTCAGTAGTGACCAAATGAGGACTTCATGTAACTGTAGCAATGCAAGTGTCTTTGTGTCGGTTGTGTAGTACTGGTATAACACACAAGCATTATGGATAGCCATTTACATAAAGTAGAACACAATTTTCTTCGCTCAATTGTGACACTTCCGTGTGAAATGATATTTGACCATTTGGTCGAAGTGATCAACACCTTTCATACTGTTATTGCAGGCACAAATTGCATTTGGTTTGTTCAGCGACCTGTTGCAATGATGTTCTGTTAGGTTTATGGACTCATTTCCTTCGTTCTACTTTGTGGCAAGATGTGACAAGTGAAAACTCGCTTATCTTTCCACAGACTTAGAGGTACTGTATTGCCCTTCTGTCAAAATACAGTTTTATCTACAGGCAGTTTACCCTTTGCTTGTAGCTGAAGATCTTTTGGTGCACCGCACTGCAATCTGAGAGTACCATAGGTGTATACACCTTGTTCAAGCAGCTTTATTGTAGTTATCCATATATAAATGGTAACCTTTGTTCTTCAGTGGTTCAATTAAGCCCATAACCGATTGAATTGTTGTCTTCCCAATTCCTACATACTTCAAAATCATAGATTAACCAGTATGTGATTCAGCTAGCATGTACAGCTTTACCCCATACTTATCAGGTTTATATGGATTATAAACCTTGAAAGCTAGACGGCCCCTCCATGATATTGTGCCTTCATCCAAACAGATTTTTCTGAGGAATGTATAATATTTTGCATTTGTGCGAGAGATTCTAGGAATGTTCTAACTTTTATTAGTCTGTCTTGATTGTCTTTGGGAATGGCATTATTGTTATAAGTACTGTCTCCATTCAATTATCCAGACTATATGGGAAGGACCCCCAGCCAGATATTCACGTAATCCGGATAATGGTACTTTTTCACCTCTGAGTACAAAAGTGACCATTTCCAACTCTTTTTATACTACAAAAAACATAATTTGAATTGCCTTGCCACATATAATTATTAAATATTCAACTAGAAACCTCAACTTACCTTGTTGGTGTTTGTCTTCTTGATTGATGCCACACATCTTGAAGTTAAGAATTCTTAACACTTTATGTAACCTATACTAACACAACGCTAAAATTAACACTTAAAATCACTGTACAGTTCATTAAGCAAAGTTAGTTTTGACTGCCAGCTGCTGAAGCCTCACTGGTTGAAGGCATTTGGGTTGCCTGTGAGGCCTCACATGTTGAAGGTGCTTGCTTGCGCCTCACTTGTTGAAGGCGCTTGCTTGCGCCTCACTTGTTGAAGGCGCTTGGCTTGCCTGTGACACCTCACTGGTTGAGGTGTATAATACATAACTTGTCTTTAATTATTAGGACAACCTTCTGCCCCTGTGCCGTCTGTCACGAGGGTCTTGCTGCCCCCCCCATCCCCTCGTCCACACACACACACATCTACCTCCCTTCCCTTACCCTGACTCATCCAAGCAGTCCTGCCTTTGTCACCATAACAGACAATGGGAATGGCTTTGGCTAGATTACATATTAGTCACAGCTGCTTAATTCATACACTTAATAGAATAACATCCTGCTCCTGTTTTGTCCAAACTGCATTATCCCACTTAGTTGGACACTATCAGGATGTTCATTTTGGTTTTCTAATGGCCTAGGTCACTTGTCCCTCAGTATTACCATCCCGAGCAGTATTTAGCACCATTTGAAAATCCTGCAACACAGATGTTGCTACATTGTCTTCCCAACTTGATGCCTTCTTTTGATAATTACAATCCATTTTCCCTGCCCTTCCATTGCCACTCTTCACTCTTGGTGTCCTCTGCCTTTGAGCCACCCTCCTGCTCTGCCAGCACACACAATTGTCTTCGGCTGACTGTTGCTACCAGTCTTCACTGTATGCTCCTATCTTCCAGCCAGAAGCACAAACCAGATTCCTTCCCTGCTTCCTCTGCTTAGGAAACGACTTCAGTTCCAGATCTTTTCACCACTACAGAACAGATAAGCTGATTAGAGTCCTTTCTGGTCGTCATCTATCTAGCGACATGATGTTACACAGTCCCAGATTTATAGTTATTTCACATGAAGGATTGTGAATATGAAATATTCAAATAAATTTATATACTGCACCAGACTGCCCAAATTGCAAGGTATATGAGGCTTATATGCTGCTACCAGTAACAGTTTTGCTAATCACACTTCCATCAGGTAAGTCTGGCCAGGCTGCAGATATACCAAAAAGGGTAACCTCTCAAAACTGACCACAGGGTATTAAGTTACCATTTCAAACTTTCTTGGTTTGCACAATCATATAAAAATAGTTGAAAAAAAATTCATATTTTAATATACAGTATAATAAAAAGTGGCACTGTATTTTAGTCAGCACTATAATTTTGTGTTTTCAGTTGCTCAAAAATCAAGAATTTATTTACCAAAGATAAAATTCATATCTTAATATGAACAATAAATTTAATAATAGTTTTTTCCTCATCTCCATTTTATTATGGCTTATTCATAAATGGGGAAATACATTTTTATTTTGTACAATAAATAACCTTTAACTGGAAGAAGAGTCTCCCGCAGGTTCTGTAGTCGAGACATCAGTAGAAAATATGCCCTCTGGTACTGGCTTGGCTTCAGGTGCTGGAGTAGTTTCTTTACTTGGGACTGTTGATCCTGGTGCTGACTCGAGGACCACTGGAGTTAGTGAGGCCCAAAACATATTACCTTGGGAGTTAAAAAAAATATATAAATATAAAACAGTGGTTCCTACCTTATTTTTTCTGACACTTAAAAGGTGTTCCCTTGTCTCCAATTATTAGTGTGCGTACTAAATGTATGGGGCATATTTTTTTGCGCTACAGTATAGTGAGTCGGCTGATCAATGGTGAACTGAGATACTTTCCACTGTCTTCCTGTCCCAAACATATGACAAATTTCTTTGGAAAGTCTGTCATTAAGCAGTATTAAGTCTGGAGGTGAATGGTGCCCTGGGTGGACCTTCTAAGTTCTCATGTCTGAAGCCGTCAAGTGGCCTAAGCTCAGGCAAAAAGTCCATATGGACTAAAGATGGAGAATATAGGATTGTATACTGGAAATACTAGTGAGACTGAAGTGCTTGTGAATGTTTCTTATCAGCTAATATATACCAAAAAATGGCAGTATTGTAAGAATAGACAAATCTTACCATCCTTGTGATATCTCACTCTGTCTCCTCCGTGCTCCAGATAATCCGCTCTGGTGAGCCCCACAGCTACAAGATCTTCTACTGTGTCCCGAGCTCCATACCAAGGATCCAAAATTGGATTCTGGAAAACATAGCATTAACTGAAGCTTCCCAATAGTGACGTGTTAACTGAAAAATATAAATTCTTCTAAAATATTTTAGGGCACTAGTTATAGTAATGTAAAATGGTTTAACTGTTTTTTAAAAGTTTACTTTATGGTTACTTTACATTTCTAAACCCTTTAATTCTCTCAATCACGCTTTTAAATGAGGTAAAAAAATTTGTCAAGGATTTTTATATTAATGTAAAGAACATTTGCCTAATAAATATTAAAACCAAGATTAATTTAAATCATAAATGAACTTGATACAGTACATATAGTCATTCTTCTCTAATGCAACACTCATTCTTCATTGCATTACTATAATTGTTTTGCTATTACCACAAATACTTTCTCAATACAGTACTGTATAACTAAGACATTTTCTTCACTATTACTAGGAAACATATTCTTCACTATTACTAAGATTTGTTCAGTGTTACTAAGAAACATTATAAAATATTGAGACATTCTACAGTATTAAGAAATATTCTTCAAAATTATAAAATATATCACGCTATATATTTAATGCTCTGTTCCATTTTGAAACGACCATTAACCCTTAAACTGCATATGAAGTTTTGGAGTACTACACAAGATTTAAACGGCCCGTGGATACACGGGGTTCACATTACCTTCCTCAGGGCTCTTGTAAGCAAACACCATTTTTAAAAAATCGTGGGCAACATTCCCAGGTGTGAGAGCCTCAGTACTGAGTAAGCCACCAAGGCTGGCTCACGCAGCATGAGCCCACGGCATTGCTGTTCAGCTTGTGACCACAGCATTGCCTAAAAAACCAGCGTTGAATGTAATGAAACGCCATTTTCTGGGCGAGACCTGGAGGCTCCCCAGAGCTTATTAGGCTGATATGGTAATGTCAGACTTTGACATCAGTCATGTGTATGGAGTTCTTATGGGCCTACCAGGGACAACGAGCCAAACCTGGCCCCCTCTAGAGAGGCAAGGGGAGCAATGGCCTATAGAAACCCCCGTGAGGTTGGAAGAATTCTATGTCTGCCATCGACCAGGTCAGGCACCCAGAAAGGTAAGCGTCCCAAAACAAACCCCTATTCTGGTAAAAACTGCAACCAAAAGCCGAACGAGTGAATAGAACTTCCCCAAACCAAAAGTAGCAAACTAGTATGACATCACTCGTCGCCGCGCCGCCGTCTGCGCAGCTCCCCCCTCCCCGGGAGGAGGAAGGGAGAGCCCCAGACAACCCATGCTGGCGATCCACACCCCAGTTCTGAGGCTGGATGCCAAAACACGCGAAAAAAATGCCGACCGGAGGGGAGGGATGCTGGAGAGCCGCCAGAGAGCCTCTGGGTCTCACCCAGAAAATGGCGTTTCATTACTTTCAACGCTGGTTTTCTGTGGGGAGCCCTTATGGCTCCCCGGAGCTAACTACCCACAGAGGAAAGAATAGGGACTTACCTGGGAGACAGTTGCTGCTCACACCTCAACCCGAAGTCGAGCCAACTGGCTGCATCCGCAGACCCAAAGTGATACAGGCCCAACTGGGCCCCGGGACGTTAACAAGGTAACGAGCAGCCAGAACCCTGTTCGACCACCAAGATCCCCGTGCCAGAATGTCAGCCCAAGACATATTCCCAAAGACGGCGGCAAGAGCCGTGAATTTACGAACGTCATGGGCACGGAATAGAGCGCAGGCTGGCTAGCCTTAATAATCCTGCAGACGAACTGGGAGGCCCGCACCCGCGAATAGGGAAGGAGAGAAACCGGATCAACCCAAAGCACGTCCACGGACACAGAAGCCGTGGCGCGCAAATAATGGCGGAGAGCCGCAACCGAACACAAACATGATGCACCCCCGGCCTAACCAACCCAGGGACCCCTCCGGAAAGCAGCTGTCTCATTCTTCACCAGAAAAGAAGAAGGCTGCAGACGAACATACCGATCGCCCCAACCGAAGGAGCAGAAACCCCTGCACCGGAGGAGAGCATGAAGCTCACCAACCCGACCCCCAGAGGCTAATGCCAACAGGAAAGAGCCTTCGAAAAACAATCCGGAACCGAAGGGGCCACAACAAACCGAGAAGAAAGAAAAGAGAGCACTCTGTCCAAAGACCAGGACGGCTTAGGCGGCGCATGAGCAGGCCGGAGGTGAAACAATGCCCGAGACAGCTTGCGAAACGGCGCAGACGTAACATCAATACCAAAAGCAAGCTGAAGCGGCTTTGCCAGCGCCACATGATATGAGGCGACAGTGTTAGGCATAAGGTGACAGTCCTGGAACAACCAAGAGAGAAAGGACAAAACCACCCGAACAGAAAGCAAAGGACAAGCCAGCGTGGTAGGTCCGGGGCTCCCCCCTCCCCCTCTCGGGGCGGGGAGGGCTGTGCGGACGATCGGCGCGGCAGTAAAGTGTGATGTTTGCTTGTTTCCTTGGGATTATAGGGAGTTTCTATCTCTCTGTTCAGTTTTTTGTTTTAGTTTTTTACCATGTGGGGTTTGTTTTGTCATGCCTACCTTTCTGGGTGCCTGACCCTCAGTCGATGGCAGATAAGGAAAAGCCTAACCACAAAAGGGTTTTCCAGTGCCACTGCTCCCTGAAACCTCTCTGAAGGGGCCAGGTTCTGGCGCTGGTCCCTGGTAGGTCTGAACTCCTTAGCTAATGTCCCGATCTAATATAACATACATTAGCCCGATAAGCTCCAGGGAGCCGTAGGGGCTCCCTACAGAAAATTCTGTTTTGTTTTTTAAAATGTTAAATACCCGTCCCTGATCACAGATATGTAAAACAAAAATTGAAATTATAATTACTGTCTCCACCCGATTATCCGGACTATATGGGAAGGACCCCAGCCGGATAATCACGTTTTCCGGATAAGAGTACTTTTTCACCTTCGAGTCCAAAAGGGACCATTTCCAAAAATTATTATACCACACTCATGATTTTAATTGACACACACTAATTAGTGTGTGGGGCTGGGTGGGTGGTTAGCTGCCTAGCTGGTAGGTGGACAGGGAAAGTGGGTAGGTAGGTGGGTGGGCAATCATGTTGGTGAATGGGCAGGCAGGTGGGTGGGTGGGCAATCATGTTGGTGGGTGGGCAGGCAGGGATCTATCTTGAGGTTAGCTTAGATGATTTCGGGGCTCAGTGTCCCCGCGGCCCGGTCCTTGACCAGGCCTCCACCCCCAGGAAGCAGCCTGTAGCAGCTGTCCAGCTCCCAGGTACCTATTTACTGCTAGGTAACAGGGGCATCAGGGTGAAAGAAATATTTTGCCCATTTGTCTCCGCCTCCACCGGGGATCAAACCCGGAACCTCAGGACTACGAATCCAAAGCGCTGTCCACCCAGCTGTCAGGCTCCCCGACAGGTGGGTTCAGGCAGGTGGGTTTTGGATGGGTGGATGGCAGGCAGATGGGCTTGGTGGGTGAACAGGTTCGAGCAGGCAAGTGGGTGGGTGGGTGGGTGAGCAGGCGAGTGGGTGGGTGAGCAGGCAGGTGGGTGGGCTATCAGGCAGGTGGGTGGGCTATCAGGCAGGTGGGTGGGCAAGCAGGCTGGTGGGTGAACAGGTGGGTGGGTGGAATGGCAGGTGGGTGGATTGGCAGGTGGGTAAGTGGGCATGCAAGCAGGTGGGTAAACAGGTGGGTGGGCAGGGAAGTGGGTGAACAGGTGGATGGGTGAGTGAGCAGGCAGGTAGGTGGGTGAACAGGTGGGTGGGTGGGCAAGCATTCAGGTGGGTGGGTGCGCAAGCAGGCAGATGGGTGAAGAAGTGGCTGGGTGGGCTATCAGGCAGGTGGATGGGCGAGCAGGCAGGTGGGTGAACAGGTGGCTGGGTGGGCGGGCAGGCAGGTGGGCGAGCAGGCAGGTGGGTGGGTGGGTGGGCGAGCAGGCAGGTGGGTGGGTTGGCAGGTGGGTAGGTGGGCATGCAGACAGGTGGGCATGCGGGCAGGTGGGTGAACAAGTGGGTGGGTGGGCGAGACTGGACAGAGACAGATCACAGGTCTGTGATCTCCTGCCTGGTCACCCCCTCCCCCGACCTCACGCCAGACTTCCCATCTCCCCTCCATGTGTGTCGACACACGTGGGTGTTGACACACTGTACGATGACTTTTAACATATGCGCCTTAAGTTCTGTTAAATCCCATTTTATTTTCTTGTAAATATTTAAATGAATAAATAGCAAACCAAATACTGTACTGTACTGTTCAACTACTGTATTATAGTGTGTTATTTAATTAATATTCGTAACTAGCTCTCCACAGCAATAAGAAAACAATATAATTCTTGCAACACCTCTAATGCCTCCTTCCTTTGTTAGGCTTAAGCAAGTCGCATACACACTCAACAGTTCTCCCTCCCTTCCTGCTAACTCATTCCCTCCCTCCCACTCACTCCCTCTTTCCTTCCCTCCCAACTCACTCCCTCCTTCCCTCCCTCCCTTCCTGCCAACTCACTCCCTCTTTCCTTCCCTCCCCAACTCACTCCCTCCTTCCCTCCCTCCCTCCCTCCCTTCCTGACTGTTATCCCCCAGGTGGTCCCTCTCAACACTCCCCTCTCTTCAGACACCACCCACCCACCCCACCCCTTCCTACACCATGCGCCTCAAGTCACAGCCTTACGGGATTAATACAGTACTGACCGCCGCCTGGCTTTCGTATCCAAACATTTGACTGCTTATCCAGCTGACTGTCCGGATAATGCAACATCGGCAGCAAGTTAACCGATCCAGATTTTTTATCCGGTCAAAAACCCGATTTTCTGACTACTATGGACATTTTGGCCGGATATTGAGATAACTTTATCCGGTCACGATTTTGGCTGTATAAGGGCGTTTTCCGGATATTCGAATTCCGGATAATCGCATGTCTACAGTACTTTGGCTGCAATGGGGTCCGGAAAATGGCGTGTGACGTCACGATTTGGTGGTCGCCCGTGACGTAGACTCCCGAAGCCAGTCGCCTGCCAGCTTCAACATGAACGTGTTGCCACAAATATTTTTTTGTTCATTTTTTGCGTATATTTTCAAATACATTTGTTTTATTGTTTTTTTTCTTGCCAATCCTATGTATAATGAACACATACATAATATTATGGCAGTAGAACATCCGTACTGTCCCAAGACACTGTGTTATGTGTGTTTCAAATGTGTCCACATATATTGCTCATATATCCAATGTTTCATGTTCATTTATGTATATTTACAACATATTTACACACTATACACTATCACACACTATATACATTAACCATGAACACACTCAGAACTCCGCGAGTGTGAGCTGCCATACCCAGCCAGCTCTCCCTCACTCCTCCAGCACCTAGCTTACTCCTTACACCTTACTCACCAACATTGCTCCTCCCACTATACTGTTATTTTTTTTATTACACTATTTACATATGTTATGTATATGTTTCTACATGTTTTATTCACCATAACTATGCAAGTAAGCCGGTATTGGGTCCAAACAGCATAGTGGCCACCATACACTGCATTAGAAATCACACAGGAGCCAGCAGAAAATGGCTCCTCCCAACATACTCCTGTTGCTGTTATTACACTATATACACATATTGTATATACCCATGTACATATGTGTTCACCATAGCGAACCACTAAGCTAGTATGGTGAGCAAAACAAGAGTGGTTACCACACACAGTGATACTATCTGGATTCCCTCCCTCCCTCTCCTAAATTCCTCCTCCCACAATACTACGCACATATGTACATGGGTATATACACACATTTTATATACCCCATGTACATATGTGTTCACCATAGCAAACCACTAAGCTAGTATGGTGAGCAAAACAAAAGTGGCTGCCACACACAGTGGCAGCCACCGCCATCCATACTATCTAGATTCCCTCCCTCCCTCCCTCACCAAACTTCCTCCTCCCACAATACTATGCTCAGTGCTAATTATCACCACAATCCTGCTATTATCACAATCCTGATCACTAAATCCTGTAAATGAATAATTGACCACAAGTTTATTTTGTAAAGTAACATAAGGAGGAGTTTGAAGATTCCTAGATGGACGAAATAATGCTGTGGTGCTGTGGCTAGCTAGCGCTCTGAACATCATGAACAGCACCGATTCACTGATATTTGAACATTGTACACAGTCACTATCACACTGAGGCTCTTCTGTAATACTATCATGGCTAAATAATACCAGTTATATATATATTTTGACATTATTAGGCGATGATGTGATCACAAGCTGAACAGCAGTGTTGTGAGCTCATGCTGCATACGCCAGCCTTGGTTGCTCACTTAGTACTGAGGCTCTCACACTCGGGAATGTTGCCCACGATTTTTTTTTTAAATGGCATCTGTTTACAAGAGCCCTGAGGAAGCTAATGTGAACCCCATGTAGTCGCAGGAGTTTTGAATCATACACTAAAAATATAGGATCCCAGAGGCGCATTGCACACCCCCCGTCGAGCACCTGCAGGCGCGTTGCGCAGTTTAGTGGTTAATTGAATGTACAACTTTGCACAGAATCTCCTGTTAGAGAATACAACTGTCTTCATATGTTGACACTGGATATAGTCCCTGAAATATTTATTAAATGTTCCCATTATCTAGTTTGTCTATCACACAAACAACAGTTACCAGTTGTTTGTACTGAGGAGGAAGGACGTGTAAAAAGAATAAAGTGCATATACTGTACATGTGGCGTTATAACATCACCATGCACTCTTTCTCACTACTCCAGGGGGGATTGAAGGGGGAGGGGGGGAGAAAGGTAAACTGCAGCATCACAATCACCCTGAGGTCCACTTGTATGCTTGGGACACTTACATGTTTCATGACATGTTTGCTCCAAGGTGAACTGCACCCTTACAAGCCTCTAGTTGAAACATACAAGAATTAAGAATATGATTCTTAACATTGGCCTTAACAGGACCAGCTCAGAAGATGAGCAAGCGAAGGCAAGGGACTATAAGCACAGATAATGCAGTGCACAGTCCCTCAAATGTGCAGCTGTATCAGAAGCTTCCAGGGACAGAGTGCAGGAGTAGGGTCAATGTCTAGACCCAACACCAGTCTCAAACACAAGGAGGAAACTGACAGCACTCAACATGAGGTAGGTTTGAGGCAACAGCGTGTCCGTTGCTTCAAAACTCCATGCTTCACCTTGGTAAACTGCAAAAAGCAGAAATCACACTCAAAACTGGGTAGGGACATCATAATCATCACCACAATATACAAGATACAGGTACTAAGAGGAATAGATGAGATAGACATGGCCATCCTCTTTAAACTTTAAGAAAACAAGACAATATGAGTGAAAACTGAAAACAATCTAATTGTGGAAACAATTCTACAATTACTTGAACAGTACTCAGTATGGTGCCGGTGGTTGAGCGGATAGAACACTGGACGCGTGATCCTGTGGTTCTGGGTTCGATCCCGGGCGCGGCAAGAAACGATGGGCAGAGTTTCTTTCACCCTGATGCTCCTGTTACCTAGCAGTAAATAGGTACCTGGGAGTTAGTTGGCTGTCACGGGCTGCTTCCTGGGGGGTGGAGGCCTGGTCGAGGACCGGGCCGCGGAGACACTAAAGCCCGAAATCATCTCAAGATAACCTCAAGATATGGATAGTTAGGAATTGGAATGTACTGAAGAAAGACGTTGTGGATGCTACCTAAATCGACAACTTGAAAAGCAAATATAAACATTAAGATATTTTTAAATGTACTGGATACTAAAGGGGCTTGCTAATATTGAAGACCCACATTAAACAGATGAGTATGCCGTAATCCTGTTACACGGCACAGCAGATTAATACCTATGGAGTAGATTTTATTAATTAGGAAAATCTAAACAAATTAGAAAATAACTACCTCAGCAAGACTAACGCTGAAATGTGACTGGAACGGTCTCATGGCCAGGAGTTCCCTCTCTATTCTTGGCTTCAGTCCTGGTATTGATGAAGGGCCGCCAGTAAGGAAAACATTGCTCACTAGTCTATTTTGAGTATCGGAGTCAAATAAACCCAAAACATACTGAATAGTGGATGTTATGCCACCCTGTTCAAGCCCATACATGTACGGCTGGAAGAGGAGCTCCCCAATTCTAATCTGTAAAATAAAATGGGAAACAATGGTCAGGCTAAATAATGTGCTGAAAAAGCACATTATTTGACAGTAAGGAAACCTAATAGCTGTATATACTGTACAATATATATTTTACTGAAAACTGAAGAAATTATAAATATTATATTAATATTCATAATACAAACATTAAAAAAATGCTCTATAATAATAAGATTATTATAAAATAATCAACCTCTACCAAAAAACCAGCATTGAATGTAATGAAACGCCATTTTCTGGGTGAGTCCCGGAGGCTCCCCGGAGCTATCCATGACTGATATGGATATCCTAACTATTTTGCATCAGTCGATGTGGGTGGAGTTCTAGCCTACCGGGGACCACGAGCCAGAACCTGGCCCCCCCTCACAGAGGCACGGGGAGCAATGGCCCATAGAAATGCACATGTGATTTGGAGCATTCTATATCTGCCATCAGCCGGGACAGGCACCCAGAAAGGTAAGTGCCACAAAACAAACCCCTATTCTGGTTAACAACGAAAATTGACAAACAAGTGGACAGAACTCCCCAAAAGAAAAACAAGCAAACAAGCATGACGTCACACGAGCCACGCTGCATGTCTGCGCAGCTCCCCCCTCCCCAGGAGGGGGAAGGGGGAGCCCCAGACCCCCAAGCTGGCAATCCACGCCCCAGTTCAGAGGCTGGATAACAAAGACCACGAAAAACCGCCAACCGGAGGGCGGGAGGGATGCCGGGGAGCCTCCGGGAAAGCCCCGGGACTCACCCAGAAAATGGTGTTTTATTACATTCAACGCTGGTTTTCTGGGGGAGCCCCTAAGGCTCCTCGGAGCTACCTCACCAAAGACTACCAAGAAAACCAAGGGGACTTACCCGGGAGGTGGTCGGTGCTTCACTCCTCAACGCGAAGACGAGACAACGGGCTGCATTCGCCGACCTAAAGCGACACAGGCCCGACTGGGCCCAGCATGACATCACACAGTAGGTAGCATGCAGCCAGGACCCTGTTTGACCGCCAAAATCCCCGTGCCCGAATGTCAACCCAAGACATATTGCAGAAGACGGCAGCAAGAGCAGCAAACTTACGAACGTCATGGGCACGGGGATAGACCTCAGGCTGGCTGGATTTAATAATCCTGCATACGACCTGAGAGACCCGAATCCGCGAACAGGGAAGAAGGGAAACCGGATCAACCCAAAGCGCGTCCCCGGACACAGAAGCCGTGGCGCTCAGATAACGGCGGAGGGCCGCAACCGGACACAACACATGGTGAATCCCCGGCCTGACAAACCAAGCATCCACAACCCAAGGACCCCTCTGGAAAGCAGCAGTCTCATTCTTCACCAGTAAAGAGGGAGACAGCTGCAAATGAACAAACCGAAGACCATAACCAAAGGAGCAAAAACCTCGCCGGAGAAGAGCATGAAGCTCTGCCACGCGACCTTCAGAGGCTAATACCAACAGAAAAAGAGCCTTAGCAAAACAATCTTGAACTGAAGGGGCCACAACAAACCGAGGAGAGGACAGATAGAAGAGCACTCTGTCCAAGGACCAGGACGGCTCAGGCGGCGCATGAGCAGGCCGGAGGTGAAACAACGCCCGAAACAGCTTGCGAAACGACACAGATGTAACATCAATACCGAAAGCAAGTTGCAGCTGCTCCGCCAGCGCCGCACGATACGAGGCGACCTTAGGCATCAGATGACGGTTCTGAAACAACCAAGAGAGAAAGGACAACACCACCCGAACCGAAAGAGAGGAACAACGACGAAGGGTCAAAAAGAATCAGAAGGACCGCCAGGAAACTTCATACTGCCGCCGAGCCATAGGGGGCTCCCCACAGAAAACAAAAGATACAGGGGAATTATCCATGCATACTGTAAACTCCAGTGAGCTACTGTTAGGGGGGCCTTACCAGAAATCATGTTTTGAATGTAATGAAATGCCCTTTTCTGGTGGACTCTCAGTATCTCTCACCAACCACGGACCCACCACATATTTCTTTCCCAAAGGTTTTTGGGGTTCAGTACTGGCAGCTCAGAGTGAGGTGGGTGGCCAGAACTCCAGGTGATGTAGTCCACCATCTAGTGGTGGCTGTGCACATTAAGGTTTGGCCTACACACCCACAGTAATGATTGGTTACTTTGTTTGCCTCAGATTTATTTGTTTTATTTCAAGCAGTTGTGTGCTTTGTTTCATTTAACTTTTTGGTGAGTTATATTTACAGTTTTTGGTTAGATCTCTGATCCCCACGATCCCTTTGCCTTATAGAAAGAGCTGGATTCTAGTCCTGGCTCCTGGTAGGCCAATGTGGGTCTAAGTGGCCTGTTGTAATTTCTAAGGTTGATTGGCTATGGTTGTTATTTCTGATTTGCTATGGCAATCAGAAATATAACTAGAAGTTGGCACTTCTTGCTGCTAAAGAGGTTTACAATGTCAGTAGTCTTTCATAGTCAAAATTAACCATCATTACAATACAAAAATATTAAATCTTACTTGTATACCTATAGTATACAAGTGAGATTTCTGACCTGTTCAGTCGAGAGCTGAATCTGGTAGTTCTCAGCAACTGAAGTGGGCTTGCTGGCAGTGCTGTCTCCCAAGAACTCAGGACTGTGCTGCCGTAAGGCTGATTCTAGCTCTTGTAATTTTTCATTTTCTTCCTCACTGTCTGACCCTCCGCCCTCCTGGTAACACACACACACACAAAGTAAACAACACAGGCACCAAATTATTTACATACTGTACTCTTTAACATCCTATGAAATCTATCCATACTATTTTATCTTAAAGTAAAAGATTGAAAAAAAAATTTAATGCAAAAAGCTATACATAACATTGATGACCTTCTTATGTTACCACTAATCAGAGGTCATAAATAATTGCCTCCATCATAAAAGTAGAAATATTAGGTTTATTAAATAAGAATCTACAAATAACATTCTCAACCTGCCATGCTTGTAACAAATGTGTGAAGAGTTCCTATTGAACTCTATTTTGACCACCCAGTGTTCATTCACCTGGCCATTCTACTACCTTGACTTTAACGTCCCTCTTGCTGGGGAGCAACGAGACTATGGATCGTGACCGTAATTTACTCTAATACTGTGAGAAGAAGGTTTAAACCTCTTACTTGAACAATACCCCTTAAATGAACCCTGTTGATCCCAAGGTGGTTAGTTGGTTGGTCAGTGACTATATTACTGTTAGGTAACTGACAAACTTACTTACAAAGTGAAAAATTATCATCTGAATAGCTGAGCTATGGAAGAAAGCAATGTGGCTAATAGGACTAAAGAGAGGTGTATCCAACACTTGGCTACTATGATGATGAATATCCTCAGCATCTGTCCTGCTAGGAATTTTAATCCAGGAATTCAGTACTTTTTAAATACAAAATTCACAATCTGCCAGAGTATAAAAATCCAGACGAAAGGGCTTTCCCCAGAAAACCAGCATTGAATGTAATGAAACGCCATTTTCTGGGTGAGACCTGGAGGCTTCCCAGAGCTATCCAGGCTGATATGTATATTGTTAGACTTTGGAATCAGTGTGAATGGAGTTCTAGGCCTACCGGGGACCACGAGCCAGAACCTGGCACCCCTCAGAGAGGCATGAGGAGCAATGGCCTATAGAAATGTATATGTGTGTAATTACCTAAGTGTAATTACCTAAGTGTAGTTACAGGATGAGAGCTACGCTCGTGGTGTCCCGTCTTCCCGGCACTCTTTGTCATATAATGCTTTGAAATTACTGATGGTTTTGGCCTCCACCACCTTCTTACTTAACTTGTTCCAACCGTCTACCACTCTGTTTACAAAAGTGAATTTTCGTATATTTCTACGGCAGCTTTGTTTCGTTAGTTTAAATCTATGACCTCTTGTTCTTGAAGTTCCGGGTCTCAGGAATTCTTCCCTATCAATTTTATCGATTCCTGTTACTATTTTGAACGTAGTGATCATATCGCCTCTTTTTCTTCTATCTTCTAGTTTTTGCATATTTAATGCCTCTTATCTTGCTGCTAAATCAAGTAAATCTAATCTTGCTGCCTCTAATTCTTGCTGCTAAAGAGGTTTACAATGCCAGTAGTCTTCCATAATCAGAATTAACCATCATTACAATACAAAAATACTAAATCTTACTTGTATACCTATAGTATACAAGTGAGATTTCTGACCTGTTCAGTCAAGAGCTGAATCTGGTAGTTCTCAGCATATGAAGTGGGCTTGCTGTCAGTGCTGTCTCCCAAGAACTCAGGACTGTGCTGCCGTAAGGCTGATTCTACCTCTTGTAATTTTTCATTTTCTTCCTCACTGTCTGACCCTCCGCCCTCCTGGTAACACACACAGTGTGTGGAGCATTCATGTCTGCCATCGACCGGGTCGGACACCCAGAAAGGTAGGCGCCCTAAAACAAACCCCTAATCTGGATAAAAATACTACAGAAAACTAACAATTAAACAGAACGCCCCAATTGAAAAACGAGCATAACGTCACACTTGTCGCGCTGCTTGTCTGCACAGCTTCCCCTTCCCCGGGAGGGGGAAGGGGAAGCTCTCTTCCGGAAAGACGGAAGCACCCGGGGGAACAACTCGCATGCAGAAGAGGGAAAAAGAGAACCCCGCCCCTTGCAACAGCAAGGCCCGCTCAAATGGCAGAAAAACTCAGGCGGGGTCCAAGGCCCCCAAGTCAGCCCCTCCTCAGCCCCAAGGTCCTCCTCTGCAGGACCCAGGCCGAGTCGTCCCCCCCAAGCACCAACCCCACCAGACAAGACCGGCGCAACCGTAGAAGCCGGACAGAAGGGGGCCCACTGGTCAGACCCAGAGGCTTTGACCAGCGGACTAGATTCGAATGCTTCCATTGCCACACCGGAAGGGGCATCCCTCGAGGCTGCCCGCGTCTCAACACCAACGAACCCCTGCCCCGGCTCCGAAACCCTCAGACATTTCAGGGCCGGAAGCAGGGAAGGGGGACCAGAACAAACAACAGGAGAGGAAGGACAAGGAGGTGCGGACTGAACCAGGGTCGAGGCGACCCCCACCCCAAGTCCGGGTCCCTATAAGCAAAATGGGGCAGCCGCGGGGCATCCGGGGGAGCAACCAACCGAGTGCATTGCAACAAACGAAACCTAGAATGCAACGCCTGTGCAGCCTGTACACGAAGAAGATCATCCACAGATTGGGTAAATTGAGTCACCAGCAAGCAGCAAAACTCACAGGACTCCGGGTCGAAAGTGTCCAAGGGCAGTACTTACAGGGCACCTACGACAGAGAACCCTAGGTGCATGCAGCCCGAGTACTACTGAAGAATAACTCCTGGCTCTCGCATCCCTGGAGAACAACCGCCACACACAAGGCACAGTGCCGCAAACGTCTGGAGCCAGAGCACACAACCGCTGCATATAGCATCAGCCTCAAGAACTGAGGTGTGGATTACTGGCGCGGGAGGTCTGGGGTTCCCTCTTCCCTCTCCTGGGGAGGGGGGGGGGAGCTGCGCAGACGGCGGCACGGCGACGGGTGACATCATATTAGTTTGCTAGTTTTGGTCTGGGGAGTTTTATCCACTTGTTCAGCTTTTGGTTGCAATTTTCACCAGAATAGGGGTTTGTTTTGGGATGCTTACCTTTCTGGGTGCCTGACCCAGTCGATGGCAGACATAGAATGCTTCCAACCACATGGAGGTTTCTATTGGCCATTGCTCCCCATGCCTCTCTAGCGGGGGCCAGGTTCTGGCTTGTGGTCCTCGGTAGGCCCATAAGAACTCCATACACATGACTGATGCCAAAGTTTGACACTAGCATATCAGCCTAGTAAACTCCGGGAAGCCGTAGGGGCTCCACTCCAGAAAAATCCTTCGCAAAAGGACGACGTACACAGGAGGAACAGAGCCAGCCGCTGTAATAGGTGAAAACTAGCTGCATAGTACCCCATGCCCCAACCAGTGCAAAAACTACCACTTACCCCAAGGTAAAAAAGGGGGGGAACCCCCTAACCCCCCAACATACTCGGGGTGGTAAATCACCGAGCAGCAAAAGCATAACAGAGGAAGACCCGAAGGTGACTTGTGTTAGATAACCCCAAGCCCCAAGGGCGGTATTTACAGGGCACTCAGGAAAGGGAACCCTAAGCTCATGCAGCCCAAGTACTTGTGAGTATTACTCCCAGCTTGCACTCCACCATAAAAGCAGTACTGGGCACAAGGTACACCACAACAGAGAGAGAATCTGGAGCTGGAGCCACACGACCGAGCCACAATCACATCAGCCGAGAACTGACAGGAGGATAACCGGCGCGATGGGTCTGGGGCTCCCCCTTCCCCCCTCCCGGGAAGGGGGGAGCTGCACAGACAAGTGGTGCGGCAAGTGTGATGTCATGCTCGTTTTTCAATTGGGGAATTCTGTTTACTTGTTAGTTTTCTGTAGTAGTTTTAACCAGATTAGGGGGTTTGTTTTAGGGCGCCTACCTTTCTGGGTGCCCGGACCAGTCGAAGGCAGACAGAATGTTCCACACACACGTGCATTTCTATAGGCCATTGCTCCTCATGCCTCTCTGAGGGGACCAGGTTCTGGCTCGTGGTCCCGGGTAGGCCTAGAACTCCATTCACACTGACTGATTCCAAAGTCTAATAATATATATATCAGCCTGGATAGCTCCAGGGAGCCTCTGGGTCTCACCCCAGAAAAAAAAAATGACATGATTCACTTTATAAAATAGTAGGCATCCATCAGTCTCATGAGTACACATTCCTGTACAATCTTTATAGAGTACACAATGAATAAGTCATACTCATAGAAAATGTTGTCATTTTGCAGGGGGGGCAAATAACCCCCCAAATTTATAGCCCGTCATGCCTCAGAGAGGCATGAGGGGCTATAAAATCATCAATAGCACACTGTAATAGTTCAGAGTGAGGAAGAAAGAATATCGTGCAAAAAATTCCTTATATAGTATTATGAATTACTCAGAACAACTAGAAATTTAAGCTAGGTGATAATTACCATTATGTTACTTCCCATTAACTGTACATATTGTGAATCACTACACACCTTTCTTTACAGTTTATTATAAGTTTTATAGAGGCTTTCAAGCCTAAGCAACAAAGCACTAGTACCAACATACAGTGATAAAACTTTGTCTAAAACATGAGAAAATATAAGTTCACTTTTCATATGCAACTTAAAAGAAGCTTTAAGCATTCTTCTGTAATCAAGTTGATGACCAGCACCATGCCAATGGCCTTGTATGACAAAGGTGTGGCACAGTGAATGAACCGGGCAACAAAAATCCTACCAGAGCTTAGTCATCTCACGTATTAGGACCGGTTGAGGTCACTAGGCCAACAACACTGCCAACCAGGCATGAGAGGGCAGATCTCATCAAAACCTTTAAAATACTGAACAATTTGTAGGATGTCGATCTGGATAATTTCTTCAAAAGGTCAGATGTAACACAAACGAGGGGCAACGGGTTCAAGCTCAACAAACCACAATATAGGAAAGAAACAGGAGATGCTTTTTCACCCATGTGGTTGTAAACCCGTGGAACTGCCTACCCGTCGAAGCTGTAAATACCAAAACTCTGCTGGGTTTTAAAACCCAGCTGGAAAAGATCATCAGGGCAAATGATGATTGCAACCTTTGACAAGCCGCCGGCTTCCTGTCCTCATCAAGGCCATTAGTGTTGGTGGCCTTCAGGTAAATTCAAGTAAATGTTCATGTTACTTTGTCAGTCATGTTAACCACTGCACTGCGCAGAGCACCTTGAGGCGCTGGATTGAGGGTGCACAGAGCGCCATGTACTGTATAGGGAGCAATTCAAAACTCCCGCAGGTACACGGGGCTCAAATCCTGTGCCTCAGGACTCCTGTAAACAGATGCCATTTTGGAAAAAATCGTCAGCATCCGTGCTGGCCTTGAGAGCCTTAATACTGAGAGAACGACCAAGGCTGGCACATGCAGGAGTTGTGCAAAATAATATTTTGGAAATAATTTATTTTCGGCGCACCACGGGGGGGTGTCATATTTTAATGCAGCGCATCATGGTGGTTAAGGCCAGTACTGGGTAGGTGACTGTGCAGACTACCTCATGCTTGGCTAGGGGGACCTCAAAAACCTTAACAGATTTCCTGTCCCCCTACATATCCTACCATAACTTGAGTCTAAATCATTACTTAATTCTAAGTACAGCACAGTAATTGTTTAATATTTTATTACAGAAAAATGCTCAAAGTATCTGTTTGAAGTTGAATATAAAAAACAGCAAGTATTCAGCTGATTAAAGATGAATACTTAAAGCACCTTTAAGTTACAGTGTATATATAAAAAATATACAAACCTTGTTTATCGCCTTGTATACATCCCAATCCTCGTCCCTCATTCCAAAGTTATCATCTTTCTTTTCTCTTCTTGCAAGCTGCGAAATAATACGCATTCTCTCTTGTGATGCTGCTGTGCGGCGTTTCGCCATTTCCTGTCTAAGACAGAAGCACTTTCAGTACAGAAATCAAATGTCACTTAAAGTGCCAGTAAAATGCTGCAAAAAAACAAAATGAATGTGGTTTAATACTAAGATAAGTAAAAGGCATATGCTAATGCCCCATGAATGTTAATTTTCATATTTAAATTGAAAAATTGATCATATAGGCCTATCATCCCATAGAAACAGGTATGTTGATTCACAGAAAAAATAACAGGTAAAATAAGTCGTGAAATCTCTGAATAATATAAAGATCAGGTCAGACATACACAGTACAGTATACTGTATGAATGAGTTTGTGTGAATATCAAATAATGTGAGGCATATTTTTGTTAAACATTAAATTGATCTCTCAGGAAAGGTCTGTGTTGTATCCATATTTTGTCACCACTTCATCCATTATTATTATTATTATTATTATTATTATTATTATTATTATTATTATTATTATTATTATTATTATTGCAGTTTACACTTTGTAATCTGTGACTATGGATTCCCTGTATAGAACAGATGCATTTACTAGACAAATTAATACAATAGCTGTATTTACATAAAAACCAACATTGAATGTAATGAAATGCCATTTTCTGGGTAAGTCTTGGAGGTCCCCCGGAGCTATCCAGGCTGATATGGATATTATTAGCAACCTTTCCCCTCCCCGGGAGTTGGAAGGGGAATTACCTAAGTGTAATTACCTAAGTGTAGTTACAGGATGAGAGCTACGCACGTGGTGTCCCGTCTTCCCAGTACTCTTTGTCATATAAAGCTTTGAAACTACTGACGGTCTTGGCCTCCACCACCTTCTCCCCTAACTTGTTCCAACCGTCTACCACTCTGTTTGTGAAAGTGAATTTTCTTATATTTCTTCGGCATCTGTGTTTAGCTAGTTTATATCTGATGACCTAAGCCCCCGACATATGCTCACCCCACCTCCCCAACATATGCTCACCCCACCTCCCCCACAAGCATCCTCCCCATCTTGCCGACATACACCATCCCAGTCTTCCTCTCGGTCTTCCCTCTACACAAACCCATCCCCATCACCCCCCTTCCCTTCCCCATCACTTTCCCCCCCACCTTCCCCATCACCCCCTTCCCCTTACCTTCCCCATCACCCCCCTTCCCTTCCCCATCACTTTCCCCCCCACCTTCCCCATCACCCCCTTCCCCTTACCTTCCCCATCACCCCCCCCTTTCCCATCTCACCATATCATTGTAACTATTTTTTTCACATGTTGTCTTCATCACCATAAACATCTTCATACCCTCCTCATCTCCACACACCCATTCTCTTCCCATATCCACCATCACTGTAACCATTATCACTACACGCTATCTACATCACTGTAACCATTTTCACTACACACTATCAACCTCACTAACCATTTTCACTACACACTATTAACTTCAGTAATCTAATTTAAAGATAGAAATTGTTTTGTCCTGCAATCAGTTTTAACATTGTGAATCAGTAACAGTATAAAATTACTTCCCAAAATACAACCCAGCACATTGAAAAGTAATACAGTACAAAATTCTCTCTCTCCAGATATAATGTGTATTTCTTACCTCTTGTGTCTTCTGGCTGCCCGACGGGCCTGAATATCCCGCCACTGTTGCTTGACCTCCTCAACCCACTGCTCCAAATCTGCCTTCTTCTTAGGATTTATATCTTCACACACTCTCTTTGGCTTAGGTTCCTAGGAAAACAATTTAAAATTCTCATACCATGGGATAAACATTTTATAAACACACTTACTAAGCACTGGCTAAATTCATTATTCCTGAGTGGCATGAGTTTTTGAGAAAGGAATGTAAATTATGTTGCTGTTGACCTGGGGCCGACAACGATCAAGGGATCGGATGCGCCCTGGCTGCCCGATACTGGGAAACAGCAAAGAGGGATGGGGTCCCTATAGTCTTTTCAGGCCACAGACTTTACAATCTCCTCTGGCCACATACTTCACAGTTTCTTCAGGCCACGAACATGACGGATGAAGTGAAAGGTATGGCGAAGGATGTCACATCGGACGTCTTTGTCTCTCGAATCTTCCCCATCAAGGAGAAAGGGAACCGTGAGGCGGGAACTATTCAGCTTACGAACGGTACTCTGTAGTCTGACGCGAGCGCTATGAAATCTAGGGCAGTGAAGAAGGTGTTCCATTGTTATCCGAATGTAAATTATGGATTACATGATTGCCGGTATTTTTGTAAACACATTTTGTATTATATTGATGTACGAAGGAACCTTCTAAATATTATACAATGCCTGTTACATCCGAAGATAGCATGATGAAATGAAAAGTAAAATTTAGTCTCATCTATGTTACTGGTGAGTGTACAAATCTACTTTACACAACACATTTGTCACAGGACATTGGCAGTACAGTAGCAAGTAATGATGTTTAGATGGTGTTTATACAGTACAGGTACTGTATTTTACTGTCAAGAACTTGCCTAAATTACCCCCTTCATGCTTTTGATGAATACTGACATGCCACAACCATTTAAAATCTGTTCAGCTTGTGGCCCATCTCAAGCCTTTTCCTAGTTCAAATTTGAGCAAAAGACTAGAAATACATTGTTGTATAAACTGTGTATTCCCTGCCTAAACACATGCCTAAAATTGCTGATCTAGAACTTTCTAGATTCATTCCTCCTCTTACAACTTAAGCAAACATTATCATATATGAACCTACACTTGATCTCTCCCATAAGAGGAAAACAAAAAGTACTAATAATGATCACCAGTCTTTGCTTAACCACTAAATTTAGTCTATTTACCTCCTCCTCAGCAGCAGCTGAGGTTGCCTGAGCCATTTTCTGACGTGTCTTCTCAATCTTTTGATGCAACAGTGTGATCTTTTTGGTTAGATCATCTGGGGATGTGACTTCTGCTTCCTCCAGAGCATGTTGATACTCGGGCTCGTCTGGTGTAAACTCCTCCATGGCTTCCACTAACTCTATTAGGCGAGTTAGTTCTGCTTCATCCTCCATCAGCTAAAATTAAGAAGTCTAAAATCAACAAATGTACACTATTGACTTCATAACACACCAACAATATTTGAATTACGATTTTAGAATTAAGTGTTACCCTTAAACTTATAAATAACTTCCTAAATTATCTTAAGTTATGTCCAAAATGCTTTGCACATTAGTGGTTTTATATAATATATATAATATGGGGACCTAATAATAAACTGCTGTAACACGGTCTGTATACTGTATAAATAAAAGTTAATATAATTAATAGTTTACATCAATAGCTATGCATAACTATAAAACCAGACATAATTATGCCAATGTATTTTGTGCATAATCTCAACTGATGCCTATTGGAAAGAAAAACTAGATATTTTATGGTTTCACGAAGGCAACCGATGAAGATATCTCCGAAGCAGCATATAACAAGGTAATGTAATGGCAGGTAATGTAATGGTGGCAGGGCAGTGTAATGAGTGCTTGCCTATCACTGTTTATGGGTAGTGAGACCTAGCACTTTGGCTGGTATAATGAATTATTATAATGTGCACAGGTTGGTGTAATGTGCACAGGTTGGTGTAATGTGCACAGGCTGGGTAATGTGCACAGGCTGGTATAGCAGAGTGAATGTAATGTAGTTTTGGTGGTTGTGCGTGTAGTGATGGTTACAGTGGTAACTGTGCAAGAGGCTGCATGTAACATCCTTGTTAGCCAGGCCACGTAAACATTGATCCTCGGAATTAACAAAAGGTAATCAAAAGGAAACGTAAGGTGGTTGCAATGGTGATTGAAGTAATAGCAATGGCAAATGCAATGGTTATTGATCTCATGGTAGTTATTACCTAGCAGTGACAAGGAAAAAAGTGATGTCTAGCTCTTTATGCCCCATCTGCTAGCCATGTTATACCTGATGCATTTTATTTGAACTTGCAAGCACCCAATAGTCCGCAAATACTGTAGTTTAGTTCCTCATTATCTTTGTACAGTCTGTAAATATTTACATATACGAGCTAACGGGCCCGGATCCCTGGTCGGGGCCCGGGTCACGTCGACATTGAGCCCCAAAATCATTGCATGGTAAGATAAGCGTGCTCCCTCCCTCGGGTAGATCATTCACATAGATCAGGAACAACAACAGGAATAAAAGCAAGCCTTGTGAGAGCCTGCTTGCTATATTCCTCCAGCTACCCTTTGTTTTCCATCTGTTAGGTACTCCATTACATCCATTACCCAGTTCAGTGCTTTTCCAGTTATCCTAGCCTGTCTCTCCATCTCATACACTAATCTTTATTAAGGAATAGTATCAAATGCTTTTTAACAGTCTATCCAGCATTTTTCTGTAATATCTTGGTGACCTTGTTAAAGAACTCTCTAAAACTGTATTGCCCCTTGTTACAAAGCTTATCCTCTCCAGTTGCTCCACCACACTCTGATTACTTCTCTAATACTTTGTAAGGAATACATATTAGTGACACTGACCTAAAAGTTTAATGCTTTTAGTCATTCCATTTGTTTTATTATTGGAACTGCACTTCCATTTTTTCAAATTTCTAAGAGTTGTAAGTCTAGTGTTTTATTGAAAATGTTAGTTAACAGAAAAGTACTCTTGCTATCTCCTTCAAGAGCCACTGTAATACCTTGTCTTGTTCTTTTGCTTTTGACTTCATCTTCAGTGACTAAAGACTGTGTTGTGTAATGTTGCTTCTGGCAATCTGCACATACCTAACAATGACTATGGGGTGTGAGGTCTAAACTGTAATGCCCCAGTGTAGCCTTTAAGTGCTTGGTATATTTATATACTAGCCTTTAAGTGCTTGGTATATTTATAAACTTTCCAACATTCAAATTCTTTGTCGCATCTGCTTTTATAGCTGTAGATGGAGATGGCTTCCACAACCTTTGCTTTCTGTGCATTTTAGCTGTAGATTACCTATAACGGGAACAAGTATTTTTTTTATATTTCTTACTCCCTTGTAATTCCAGCTTCCATCTGTGTCCAATTGTCCCATTTTCTACCAATTTGAAGAGGCTGTCTTTGTCCACCTTATTTAATTCCCTCAGTATTTTGTATAACATAATCATAACCTATCTGCTCATCCTCTCTTCTAAAGTAGTGAAACTGAGATACCTTAACTTGTTTTCATGGCTTAGTTCTCTTCATTCAAGCAACAGTCCTGTTACAAACCTCTGCACTTTTTCAAATGCATTTTTGTGCTCCATAAGGTGCAAACTGCACACCGGTGCTGCACTTTTTGGTTATGGCTTCACACACACATCTTGAAAGTCCCCATGCTTAGATTTTTAAATTCGGTTTTTATGTTTGCCAGCTTCCCACATGATGATGTAATCCTGTTGTATGCCTAACTATGGCAACTGTACTGAAATTACTGAATATACACCCCAAAGTATTTTTCTCTTTGTGATTCCTGTAGTGTAGTTGCCTTTTCCTCGTGATAAAGATTCCTTCTAGTCTAATATACTGTACACTTAGGTGGGATTACAATCAACAGCCACTTGTCTGCCCATTTCTGGAGTGAGACTGAATTCCATGATCCCATAGAATCATGGGTTCGATGAGTGAATGAAGATGGTTCCATCTCCCCCTCTAATGCATTCTCAGACTGTATTTCTTGTAGGTAGTCCTACGCCTTTCTGCAGTCTACTCCAGTCCTCAACCTACTTTTTGGTGTGACCCCCTCCTATAGCTTTATTCTGTAACTGAAGACCATAGAGAAGAGATTGCTGGCTTCTAGGGAGCATTACACATTCTACTGCCTTGATGTCTACCTTATTACAGCATTGTGGACAAACATCTGCTATAGTGTTGCTGAATGATCATATTCTCTTCCTCTTATTGGCTCTCTGATATGCTGCCGCTGGAAGTTTTTATTCACTGCGTCCACCAATTTTCCATTCCACAATTCATCACCCTAATGGGATCCTTCAATACCAAGTCTAATTCCCTGTGACTGAAATCCCAAAGAATTATAATCTTAGCCCTTGCTACTTTTCCCATTGTGTCCACCCCTTTTATTATCTTTAGGCAGTTTTTATTGTACAGTATTTGTCTTATTCCACCCCCGGGCTTTCTGATGTTGTCATACCTAATTTGTAATTCTGCTGGTTGGTTGGTTATCTCTGATAAGTTTATTTCCTTGAAACTACAGTATTACAGTGCAGCTATAATACTGTAGGAAGGCCATCAAACCCTATTCAACAGCTCCTCTGTTATTACAGGCAGCTTTCAATACTGAGTAGTAGTGGACATAGCAGATTTGATGGAATGTTAATAAGTACTCTTGTACCAAGTTTCAAAGTGTGTGTGTGCATGTATGTTGATGGTACAAAGGTTAAATGTCATTTACTCATATTTATCTGCAGATCAACTGATTTTTGGGCAGTGTGCTGAGCTCCCACACATGCCCCATTCTTGTGTTTTACAAATTGTTTATTCTTATTCTTTGTGCTTTTGCACATTTCAAGCCTTCTGGACTTCATTATTGTGACGATATCAACATCATTATTGGAGTGAGAAGTGGCGATATCGACGCCATCTATAGATTTGCACTCCATCTCCAAGGAATTAAGTATGATGAAGACAATGCCATCTGTTGCTGGAGGTGTGGCATGTTCAGCGTCATCTATGAAAGCTTCCTGTTCATATCTCGGTTAGGAGGTGAGGTCAACGATGAAGACCTCTGGTGAGTGAAGTAACACCATCAACGCCAACGATTACATTTTCAGTTCCCCAGTAAAAGGTTGCCCTTGTATTGAAAAAGATTCTCCTTGTATACTTTCTGTCTGGCTAATGACTATTATGTCCACAGAGGTGAGCTGGAGAGTCTATTGCACTGTGGAAGATAGTTCACCTTGGGCAGTCCAGAACTCCTGACTTGTCCCTGTGAGGACAAGTGGCCGCCGTCAGTAGTAGACAGTGTGTGGGCTGTTGTACTTGTGCAGCGATTGTAAGTACCACAATCTAGGGAGTAGGGAGCCGGTCAGCCGAGCGAGGGAGCCGGTCAGCCGAGCGAGGGAGCCGGTCGGCCAAGCGGACAGCACGCTGGACTTGTGATCCTTTGGTCCTGGGTTCGATCCCAGGCGCCGGCGAGAAACAATGGGCCGAGTTTCTTTCACCCTATGCCCCTGTTACCTAGCAGTAAAAACTAACCTGGGTGTTAGTCAGCTGTCACGGGCTGCTTCCTGGGGGTGGAGGCCTGGTCGAGGACCGGGCCACGGGGACACTAAAAAGCCCCGAAATCATCTCAAGATAACCTCAAGATAACCAATGTACCCGGGATTTGGCCAAGAGGAGTTACAAGATGACAGTACTGGCCGTCTATTGAGAAGTGCTGCTAGTATGTAGTCAGACTTCTGCCAGGGTAATAGTGGAGACCCCTGGACGTATTACTTGTGACCCCTGTCAGCGTATTGCTGCAGCTCTCTTCCAGTGTTTCTGGAGAGTAGATGTGGGGTATTTGGACATCATGACAATATGGTGTGGGACTGGCCCATGTTGAGTAAGGTGAACTCGCCAGTGATGACCACTGGACGTGGACGACGTATACTTGAAGATAGTGGACTCTCCGGGATTTGAAGAACACTGCAAATATATTAAGTGTCCTGTGCCAAAGTGAGACTGTGTACATATGTGTAGTTATACTTCAAGAGATTATATCGGTGAAGGTGTGATTTAGTCTTGTTTATCCCCTTTATACTTCACGATTACTTGATACTGCCAATTCTTGATAACTTACAATTGACTTAGGGGTGGGATCACAGAAGAAAAGGCTCTAAGGCCCATTAAGTAGAAAGAACCCAGTTACTAGCTCAGTCAGGTCGTAACAATTATACAGTATGTTGTATTTGTGGCTGGAAAGGATTGAATAAAAATCTGAAAATATTGGTCTTCTGGAGGTCACTGTAATGTAACTATTTTCCTATTTTCTCCTATAATCAAGTCTGATTTACACAGTTTTTAAAAGAGCACATCCCCCATGCAAACTGATGGTCAATTATATCTGGTACCCTCTTGGCAATATGGTATTGTATTACATTGTCTATTAAGATAATCAATTTTGTTTCAATTATTTTAACAAGGTGTTGTTTTTAATTCTGCCACCCTCCCTTGTAACTCTACATCCCTGATTTCTAATTATTTTTCATTTGTGTACATAACTTTAATTCTAGTTATCTCTACTGGACTGCTTTGCTTAAACCGAGAGAATTGATGTTACAGTTGGAGTAAGTTCAATCTGGAGAGTGGAGTGTATACTAAACAACAGTCACCTCACTCTAATGAATCGGTACCATGACAGTCTAAGCCAGATCATTATTTTGCTGAACTAGACATTTCAGCTTGTATTTATCATATAATTTCCAAGTCCCCTTTTATTTTCCAAAAGCTTGATTTTCCACCTGTTTTAAGTCTGCTTGCTCCCTATCCTCCTCAAGTATGACCTAATGTACTTTATGGTATGCCCTTTGTTTCCCCATTTCCTCTATTCACTGTGAGAGTGGGCTCTCAGTTTTCCATCGCTGACTCCATGTTGCATGTTACAAAGCTGTTGCATGTGCACAAGTTGGTAAACTAGCCCTATACACAGGCAAGTGAACAAAGGATATCTCCATTGATACTGGACTAAGACTTAGCTGGCTTGGTCTCTAATGAGAGCCCATGCTATGAGCAGCATGATGATACTACAAAGGCCATGTTATGTATAGTCAGTACAGAGATAGAAGGGAGTGCAGCAATTTATGCTGAAGCGAGCTGCAATCAGCCACCATTTCAAGATACAGTAGCTACAGGCTGTGCAAAATTGCCACAGGCAGAACAGTAAGGATCAGCAGTCAGGTCACCAGCAGAGGCCGACTCTGGACATCATAACGTGACCATGATGTCACCAACCCACACTTGAACTAGTGCAAGCTGCCCACGTGCAAACAAGTGCAACCCGCCCATGTGTGAACTAGTAGAAGTCGCCCACGTGTGAACCTGTGTAAGCTGCACCACGTATGAACCTGTGTAAGTGGAACCATGTATGATAAATCCAAATAGTCACATTCATGATCCAGTGAAGTGTCACTGAAGTTGCTGGCCACATGACCCACTCAGGATTTTTGTGTATACTTCACACGCCATCCCATGTGATTCCCATAAGCATGTCTGCCCTGCTTACTTAGCACGTGTTGATCTGCATAGATATCACATATGGTCGATGTAGAGGAAGCCCAGCACAACAGCTACAAGACCAATGTTTGAAGACCAGCCAATCAGACCTTTTGCAAGCCGAGTAGAATAAGGATGTGAGAGTGAGTGAGTGAGGCTAACATTACTGTAAGTACAAACTCTTAAGTTTTATTGGTTTATTGTCTATTTTTGTGCCTATAGCTGATCAGCCAGAGATTTGCACACATCACTGAGCACCTGCCACAGGTAGAGACTTGAGGTTAAAGGCAGACCAACAGTAAACAAGTGATTGTGTGGTGTCATGAATGTTCCTCCATCAGAGTGAATGTGTATGTTACACACAAAACACATTTAGCATATGTGCATGCTATGTTGACTGTCAGCTAGACAGGTCATTACTGTTGTTAACTATATTAAGTGTGCATGTCATTAATCTTTCCCGAGTATCCGGAGGAACTTGAATTTTTCCTTTGTGACCAGCTAGTGATAGGAAAGCCATGTTTGTGATTAGTTGTCTAATGAAAGGGTTAAGACAGGATTGTCCATGCCACATCTCGGTATCTTTGATGCAACATTAGCTTTGACAACACCAATCATAAAGTAATGAAAGTTTCCTGTGTATTAGATGAAAGTTTTGTAAATAAACATTTATTGTTTTTTACATTTGTCTTTATTTAAACCCCCTTTTTTAATACTGTCACACTAATTAATGAAGTGCCCTCAGCACATGTTCCTACTATATTAAGCACCTACTCACACAAATTACTGATGAGGAGAACCCCATGGGAGAGCCTTTAGAGCGCCTCTCTATCATTGAAGGACTCCCACGACCAAAAAGATTCTAGAGACAATGAAGCCTGTTGGTAAGGAACACCCCACAGAGGAATCCTCACTTGATAACATGCACCCTGATCCGGTACCTGTATACGGCTAAGTGATGATGTTGCATGCAATTGCAGCCAGGATGAAGCAAAAATCCACATTCAGCCAGTACATATTTTCTTGGGGTACTGTTCAAAAAGATCCCCTTCACTGGTCAATGGCATCTACTCTAAAACTTCCTCACACTACAATCATTTTAATTTTCCCAGCTATCTCAGTTGCCCAAACTTTGTTATGGATTTTGGTCAGCTCTTTCCAGTTAACATTTTATCTCTTTTTGCCATGTGTCTTCCTCTGTCTTACCTTAAGATATAAGAATGTATGAGTAAAAGAGCTGTAAACAGAGAAATGTAAAATATCATACAAGGGTAAAAATATCTAAGATACATCAGACCTAACACCCTGTTACAGTATTTTAAAACTGTGCATTGAATAGATGAATAAAGATAAAACTGTAATTAATTACATTATTATTTCATTAATAACTTACCTTTTCTTCTCTTTTCTTGGCATTTAACTCCACAAGTCTCCTTGCTGCCTCTTTACGACGCTCTCTCTGCTGTTCCACCGACACAGTGCTCACTGGTGCAGCCACAAAAGGAAGCTGAATTCTTCTGACGTATTTTTCGTAGTAACTGACATTTGACCACATGGATATTGCAGACATATAATCGTCAGCAACATACATATGACTGTGTAGAATTTCCTATGAACATGTAAAGAAAAATGTTCCATTAGTAATGATAAATGAAATAATAATGCATAAAAAATATCACTTGTCTAATTATGATGTTAAAATTATGTGTGTAGCATCATGGATAAATAAGCATTACCACACTTCAACAGTCATCCACTGCAGCAGCCTAAGGTATACAGTGCTTCTCGTGTATTGCCATATGATTATATACAAAAATACATTTATACATTTCTTACAAATCATTTTCATACTCCCTCTCTGCTTCTTAACACACTCATTCACTGTCTCCACCTACCTTCTCCCCAGGTTTTCCCCTTCTCCTACCCTCAAATTCAACTGAATACACACACTCAACTATTCTACCGTCAACCATTTATTCAATATGCCCAAACCATCTCTGCATACTTTTCTCAATCAAAGAGTTTGATTTTCCCATCTCCACAACTCTACATTATATTTTCGTCTCTAATTTTATATACCACACCCTGTGTATATATTATCCTAACACCACACATGCTTCTTAAGAGTGTCCATTTCTAATGCTGCAACTCTTAGATTTTTCACATTAATAGCATACCATTATTTTGCAACCAACCAAAGTTGGCACCACCACACCCTCGTGCAGATCTCTGGCTGCATCCATTAATTTAATTTAATTAATTAACACTTTTGCTTGGCGACAACTCAGCATTGAGTCCTCCGTTTACTAGAGGAATGTCCGGTGAGGACTCAGCATCGAGTCCTCGGTGCGGCAAAAGTAGCGGCATTTTCGGGAAGGTTTTGCCACAGTTTTGGACATTATATACATATACCCTGTACCCCTGTAGGGAATTTCATTACGAATACAATGATACCAAAATGAAAGACCTAGGACCAGAATTGAGGTAACAAAATTGAAAACAGTGTACCCATTTTATTGCTCTTTAGTAGCGTTCACAGGGGTAACGCTCCGTCACTTTCTCTCTTTGCTGTGGGTGGTACGCCGGGCTTTTGGGCTTTATATTTGCATATACTCCTGTAGGGAATTCTATTGCAAACACAATGATACCAAAATGAAAGACTTAGGACGAGAATTGAGATGTCCAAAGTGTAGAGAGTGTACACATTTTATTGCTCCTGCGCGCTCCCGTGTAACACGCTCTCATTTTCTCACTTTCTCGTCGGATTTTTGGGCTTTATATGCATTTAGTCCTGTAGAGAATTTTATTGGGAATATATTGATACCAAAATGAAAAACCTAGATCCAGAATTGAGGTAACAAAGTTGAAAAGAGCATACACATTTTATTGCTCTTTATTAGCGCTCATGCGGGAAACGCTCTGTCACTTTCTCTGTTTGCTGTGGATGGTAAGCTGGGCTTTTAGACTTTATATTTACATACCATATACGCCTGTAGGGAATTCTATTGTGAACACAATGATACCAAAATGAAAGACCTAGGACAGGAAATGAGATGTCCAAAGTGAAGAGAGTGAAGTGAAGGGAGGGAAGTGAAGAGAGAGCTCTTGCCCGCTCCCGGGTAAGACGCTCTCACTTTCTCGCTGGGCTTTTGGGATTTATATTCATTTAGTCCTGTAGAGAATTCTATTGCGAACACATTGATACCAAATTGAAAAACCTAGGACGAGAATTGAGATGACAAAGTTGAAAAGAGTATACACTTTTCAGAATTACCGCGCTCTAATGTAATGAGAGGCGGCTTGGGGTGGCGCAGCACACACTTTCTGGTAACCGCGGCCTGTTTTCATCACGTCGGCGGGTGGAGATCGCTCCTGTTTTTGACATTATATGCATATACTCCTGTTGGGAATTCTATTGCGAACACACTGATACCAAAATGAAAGACCTAGGACGAGAATTGAGGTGACAATACTGAAAAGAGTGTAAACATTTTATCGCTCTTGTGCGCTCCCGGGTAACTTTCTCTCACTTTGTTTGTTGCGGATGGTAAGCCGGGCTTTTGGAGTTTATATCCATTTAGTCCTGTAGATAATTCTATTGAAAACACATTGATACCAAATTGAATATCTTAGGATGAGAATTGAGGTGACAAAGTTGAAAAGAGTATACACATTTCAGAATTTACCGCGATCTCCCTCGCGCTCCCGCAGAACGCCAAACCCACCCAGGTTGGTGGGATGCTCGGGGGCCCAAAGCGCGAAAGTGTTAAGTACTACTCTATTATGATTATCTTAACCAGGGCTTTCATTACACGTTATTGAACCCTGGTTATTGAGTAACCAGGGGTTACATCACAACCTTGACCTACACTTTCATTAATACCAAACCACTCATAATGTAATAGCATATATAATAATAATAATAATGCACTAAGAAATCCCATTAAAGTCATGTATCAATGATAAAATCAGTAGGAGCCATGAGGAGGATTCAAACCTATGCACAAAGTATTTTACTATGTGTCAGCAGAATCGAGCTATTAGCTCTTGGACCTCTGCTTTCTAACCAATCTATTTTTCCTCTATTATATCTACTACATATAGTTTCTCTAACACACAAGCGTGCGCGTGCACACAGACATTCCCAGGAAGGAGCCCATAGCAGTTGTCTAACTTCTAGGTATCTATTTACTGCTAGGTGAACAGGAGTATCAGGGTGAAAGAAACTCTGTCCATTTGTTTCCGCCTCCACCGGGATTCAAATCCGGGCCCTTAGGCCTACGACTCACAAGTGCTGTCCACTCAGCCACGAGGCCCCTAAGTACTGCCAGCCAAACGCTTTAGACCACTACACCACGATAGGTTGCAATGCTTTTGACCATGTGATTCAACTTAATTAATCTTCTAAGGTTCCCAAGGCTTCCACTGAAGCCTCATCCAGGTGTCATATAATGCTCCTATGCACTCTGGCTTGTAGTCTGGGAATTCTACCTCCTATGCTTATCTTCAAATTCATAAACAATTCACATTAAAGTGATGTATTAATGAGAAAATCAATTGGAGCCATGCAGAGGATTCAAACCTGCACCCTGATTACTCCCAAGCACATATGCTTGGGAGCACCCAGGGTGCAGGTTCTAATCCTCCGTACTTCATTTGATTTTCTCAACAACAACAACAATAATAATAATAATAATAATAATAATAATAATAATAATAATAATAATAACAACAATCATAGTTCATCTTATTATTTATTTGGAATGCATGACAGTTGTATCATCCAAAGTAGGATTGCTGTAGTGGGAATAAATTATATTTATAAATATTGTACAGTGTATACTGTACTTGTGAAGTGCACAAAAGTATTCAGTTTCCTTTAATACTTTCACAAATAAGCAGTTTTAGGAAAAAACAGCATCCATAAATATACTCTTACACATCTTACTTAAACAAATATTATTACCTCTGCTCGTGATAAAGTAATAGCATTGAGATGTAAAGGGAACCTCAGCTGCAGCCATCGCCACAAGAATTTTGTCAGGTGAAGACCTCCCATTCTTATTCTACGTGAGCTTGCGGGATCAGCATAGCCATCTAAGATTGGGATAACATGTGTTGTGCAATTACCAATGTTGACAAGGAGTCCATCATGTTTCTTTGGGTTATTTCGGTGATAACTCAACAGGCCATCGACACAGTAAGACACACTTGGGATTCCATAACACTCGAACAGAAGCTCTGACATTACTGGGGAAGAAATATATTTATTAAATCATTATATCTACTAATATTATAGTAAATGATTCAATGAACAAAGATGAAATCGAGCATTACTTTTTTTTATGCAGGTAAATGCAGAAGATGACTACTAGCACTTGATAGCAGGTTTAGAGCTTTCCCTTCCCATGGCTCATTTTAAGCCTTACTATACTAATTTTCCTGGAACATGTCCTGCCAGATAGTTACAACCAGGTAAACAGGGAAAACATTTCAGGATCATTGCATAGACAACCCTCCTTGTCTAGGCAAAGATCACTTGTGAGGTGTAGAACAAGTGGGTTACCACTGTGCAATAAGGACTGCAATTCATTTATTAAAATGTAGTCCTTAATGCAGTTCAGTCATTATTAAAATTATTCATCATAATCATTATTACCTTGTTTCAAGTCTTCATGTGTTAAAACGGCACCAGCCAGAATAAAGAAAGGGACATAGTAAAGGATAAGAAGGCTAAAGATATGAAAAGATAGCACCCATCCAATCACAATATATTAAGCACACTACACAACCTAACACACAAACTGCACGACAACACTTCAGCAAATCCTCCACAGCAGTACTCAACAACTTCGGAAGACATGATATATAATGCACCTTATGAATTATCACATACAAATTAAACATTTCTGGGGAGCCCCAGAGGTTCCCTGGAGCTATTGGACTGATATATGCATTATTAGTCTGAGGCATCAGTCACATGGAGTTCTTACCTACCAGGAACCATGAGCCAGAACCTGGCTCGCTCAGAGAGGCGCAGGGAACAATGGCCTATGAAAACTCCACTCTTTGAGAGTATATTCATGTCTGCCATCGACCGGGGAAGGAACCCAGAAAGGTAGGCCTCCCAAAGCAAACCCCAACTGGTACAACATTGTAACCCAAGACCGAACAGAGTCCAAGAACTCCCCCCAAGAAAAACTATGCAACAAGCAAAACATCATCAAACTGACGTGCCGCTCGTTCATGCTCCCCCCCCCCCCTTCCGAAGGTGGGGGCCCCGCTCACCCGAACCAGCTGCTTGCCCCTTCCCCCTCCCCCAGTTCATCTACTGATGCCCGCTGATGTCTCCTCTGGCCTAATTCTCTAGTCAAGATTTTGCCCTTAAGGTTGTGCCTGCTGTGTGGGTGGCAAGTTGGCCAGGAGAAAGTTGCACTTAGGGTTCTTTTCCCTAGGCGCCCTGTAAGTACTTCCCTTGGGTCTCAGGGTTCTCTTCCCTGGGGCTTTCAGGTTCTTACTCCCCTAGGGGATGCTGTCGCTTAACACTGACCTCGCTCTTGGGGTCGGCGGGGATCTTGGTGCTTTCATTTGGCCCTGAGTGGTGAATGTTTGTTGCTGGGTTGGGGCGCACTGTGCTTGAGCAGCTCACATAGCTAGCGGTGGCCATGTCTCTCTCTCGCACCCTGTTGTGGTGGTGTGCTTTCAGGATTTTTGTTTTCATTATCTTTTCTGCCTAGTGGAAGTCTGCCTGGCTTCTGATTAGGTTCACCTAGGTGGCATTTGGAAGTCCTCCTCTGAACACCGGAGGTTGTACCCTTCACTGGAGTTAGTTTTCCCGGTAATTGACAGGGATCAACTGCCTTTGCAGCACCAGTGCCTGGGCTTCCCGCGGGGACACATTTACCCTGCGGGTTCTGGTAAACTCCTTAAGCTTGGCGTATCTATGGATATGTCTTTCGAATCCCTCTCACTTTATGCGAGTTTGAAGGTTGTTCGTTGACCTTGTTTCAGGGTGACGATCCTTTGTTTCGTCTCCGTCATGCTGCTTGTTGGGTCAGTGACACCTTCGACCCGGAGTTATGCAAGACTTGTTCCCTTCCGTTCTCCACTTTACCCATTCTTCTTCAAAATTCTTAGGGGTCAAGTGGCTGTCGTGTTGCATGGTAGGTTTTTGTTATTGCAAAGAGCTAGGTTGGTTGCCTGCTTAAATGGCCCAGGGCTGCCCCGTTTTGGTTTTAGGGTCCCGGACTTAAGGACGTTGGTTGCTTCGACCTTGGTTTCAGACGTGCCACGAGTTCTTCCCTGGTTCGTGTGGTTGGTGTGGTTCTTTTCTCTCTTCTCTGTTTGTTGTGGCTCCTCCGGTCCAATACTGTTTTCAGGTTTTGTTTTTGTTGGCTTTGGCCTCTGGGGAGTTTGGTCAGTGAGCTTCATGCTCTTCGACACATGGGTTTCTGCTCTTTGGGGCCTGATTTCCATTTTGTTCGTTTGCAGCTGTCTCCTCCTTTTCTGGCGAAGAATGAAATGGCGGGCTTCTCGAAAGGTCCATGGGTTATCGATGATTGGTTGGTCAGGCTGGGAGTGCATCATGTGTGTTGTGTTCGGTGGCGGCTCTTCGCCGCTACCTGAGCGCCACTGCTTCTGTGTCTGTGGATGCACTTTGGGTGGACCTATTTTTCCTCGTTCCCTGTTCCAGGGCCCAGGTCTCTCAGGTTGTCCACAGGATTATTAAGTCTAGCCAGCCCGCGGTCTACCTTCATGCCCACGATGTTTGGTAGTTTGTAGCTCTTGCTGTGGTGTTTGATAACATGTCATGGGTTGACATTTAGGCACGGGGTTCTTGGCGTTTGAACAGGGTCCTGGCCGCCCATTATTTGGTTAATGTTCCGGGTCCTCAGCGACCCTGTGTGGCCAGCGGTCTCATTTGCGTCCTGAGGAACGTGGTGTGGCCATCTCCAGGGTAAGTCTCTGTTTTACTTATCTGTGGGTATCTAGCTCCAGGGAGCCAACGGGGGCTCCCCACAGCAAATCACCATTGAATGTAATGAAACGGCATTTTCTGGGAGAGTCCCGGTGGCTCCCATGACACCCTTCCTCCCTCTGGTTGCCATTTTTTTTTTCGTTTGCTCAGTCTCCGAACAGGGGGGGGGGCAAGCAGCCGGCTCGGGTGAGGGGGGTGCAAACGAGCGGTGCGTAGGTTTGATGACACACCGGTTTGATGACACACCGGTTTGATGACGCACCGGTTTGATGACGCACCGGTTTGATGACGCACCGGTTTGATGATGTTTTCGGTCTTGGGTTGCAATGTTCTTCCAGTTGGGGTTTGATTTGGGATGCCTATCTTTCTGGGTGCCTTTCCCCTGTCAATGGCAGACATGAACATACTCTGAAAGAGTGGAGTTTTCATAGGCCATTGCTCCCTGCACCTCTCTGAGGGAGCCAGGTTTTGGCTTGTGGATCCCCTATAGGTAAGAGCTCCATGTGACTGATGCCCCAGACTAATGTAGCATATACATCAGTTCAATAGCTCCAGGGAGCCTCCGTGGCTCACCCACCAAATGGTATTTCATTACATTTAATGCTGGTTTTATTCTTCACAAGCAGATGCCATCATTCTTTGCACACATTGCCTTTAAATGCTCACACTTAATCCTCACTTTTCTTTCTTTTTCCATTATCACTGAATACAATGTTCACCTAAGGCAGAAACTGCAAAGGTTGAGTTGAGTATAAGAGTAGAGTAGACATCAGGAGCAAAAATCATTACAGCAGAATAAATCATATTAGGATTTCATGCGAGTACACAACAAGTCAATATATAAAATGTGCAGAAATCAACTTATTGTTGAACATCTTTGCGAAGTACATTACTACTTCACAGACAAGAGGAAATATACAGATAATGATATAAGAGATGGGAGAATAAGTAGACAAATCATGAACCATGAAATATTATAAGAATCTAGATACTAACCTCAAAAGGACTAAAGCCAAGTGGATGAATCAGTCACGGATTATGTCAAGAAGATAGAGGTGGCATAGAAGAAAAATGATATCAAAGCAGGCAATTTGTAAGTACAGTACTAAGAGTAAACACTGACAGATGCTGCAGAGAACAGGAATTTGTCAAGGGTAGAGGAGGTGACTACAGGAGCACAGTAAAGAAACTTACAGCGGAAAGTAAAGAAATAGCTGACAAAGAGTTTAGAAAAAACAAAAGTAATACATTTATATAAACCATAAAATTATGTTTGAATAAAATAAAGAAAAACAGGAGAGGCAATATTATTGGTTAAAGGACATCAATTTTTATTAATTTACTATCGGAAAATAAACAAATTAATCAAGATTAGAACAATGGTGTTAACAAAACATTCTATGAAACTAACATTGTCTCGAGTAGTTGGGATTGCAAAATGCTTCCGTCAGGATAATTGGATGGTCCACCTGTGTTGTGTTGATGCCCAGGTGAGAGAACGTATAGTCAAACATGGTCTCCTGAGCTTCATAGTGTGTGACAACATTATCATCATGGGGGGACTTTAACTGGAATCTCACAGCCTCAATATTTCCTATTTCATTTGCAACTAACACTTCAGTCTCCTGTAATAAAGTTATGAAAGATTAAGTTTGCAAGCTAATTGTTAACAATCAGCTTAGCATGCATAAATGTCCCTTCAGTTTTACACGTTACTGTAAGTGTAAGCAAGCATGACAGAAGTGTTATCACATAGCCAATAAAACTAACATAGTGGTAAACAGTCAAAAAGACATGTGCTCATATCTGCATAATGAACTGATTTCCAAATATAAATATATAACAACTTCGGTTTCAAAATGCATGGAATGTGATAAATCAATATTACACACAGAAATCACAATAGTGTGATGCATCAAATGAACAAATCCACAAGGGCCGTGACGAGGGTTCGAACCTACGTTCGAGAGGATCCCAGACGCTGCCTTAATCGACTGAGCTACAACATGGTAAAAGAATTACAACCAAGAAATCATCCTGATTTACTGATGGATCCTGCAGTCTCTCCAAGACACAAACCAGGGTTTTACACAATTCCCATCGGTAAATCAGGATGATTTCCCGGTTACAATTCTTTTACCATGTTGTAGCTCAGTCGATTAAGGCAGCGTCTGGGATCCTCTCGGACATAGATTCAAACCCTCGTCACGGCCCTTGTGGATTTGTTTATATCAGTACTATTACTGTAATCCATCTATAAATTTTGTTAGTTAAGGGGCATAGCAATGATGTCTGTAAAATATTAATATAACCACTCAAGTAAGTGAATATTGCTCATTTATCTCAAACTATATCACACACTGTATAGTTAATTGTCACAAAGATAACAGTAATTAGGATATACCGCAGCAAGTTTTTTCCCCCTGTCTTTTCTGTGCTTGGCATAGCAGTTCCGAAACACAATTCTTGGCTCCTTATCAGTTGCCCATCCTACACGACAGTGATACGACCCTGAAAGCATATATAAAATAACCAGCTATTATATATTGTATACAAATAGGTTTACTATAATGCAAAATGATTCACAGAAAAATAAAAAGCTTGAATTTGCCAACACTGATCGGTAATGAATCATAATTTTCCAGGCTCACTTCAGTACTTTTTTGTAGATAGGGTAAATGTAAAGTTTATTTTACCAGTGGATCTTGTAGTCTAATAAGAAACTGCTGCTGCTAAAATCTGGCAGGCGATGAAAAGAAGTGCTTTTTATATATAAACTAAGAAAAAATAATTTTAAACTGTTTTTCAGATACAGTAGGAAAAATTATTATACTGTAGAATTAAATAAAATGTAGTTTTTAAGTCATTCCTATAAAGCACCGTACAACATATAGAAATTGTTGAAGCTGCTCAATATCAGATAATACATGTTCATTGTGCATCAAATATTGTAAAAACAACAACCATATTTACCACTTAATTTTAAGTATTTTGGTCACATAATGTAATAAAAAAAATTCCTCTGCTATCACCCCTCTTTCAACATTGATTTGTGCTACTTTTTCATTACAAAATATTATTTTCTCATATAGTTTCACATTTCTAATAAGAAAAATAAATGCTCTTTTCATATTTATCATTAATAAATATAGAACTCGAGATAGTCAAGATGAGTCTTGAAAAATAAAATACGAAATCAATTCCAAAACATTAAACATAACCGTATTCATATCTCTTGTACAAAATATGTTACAATATACAAAATATAACATACAATACCTTCATGATGTAAGAAATCACTGAAATAGGTGTGAGGTGAGTGTAGGGTTTGGGACACTCTTGGAGCAGGATGCAGATCAAAACCACAGTCCTGGGTAACCCCACATAGGTGCCATGACCCATGGGCCATGATATGCTAAAGATTATATATCCTAGGATCTGCTCAGATCCACTACGAGTCTGGAGACACCAAGCTGGTAGCCAATTCATGTTTTACATATAACCCTCACACATTCTGATGCATGCAGGTTATGGTGCACATGGGGAGCGTTTGGTGACAAGGTGGCGTCATGATTAATATATTGTATCGTATTATTGACATTTCCTTGTGAGTGTAACAATTTGAAAGGAGGATTTTTGCTGGGGGTTTTTGGTAGCACTGCTACAGGTTATATTCAGTTCTGTCACCAACAGAGTAAGGTGTAAGATAGTACCATATAGGTTCTGACTAAGTAATTTAAATTCATACAAAATGTAAAAAAAAATATTAATTATAAAAACAGATAAAAGTCATTAATGCTAACTTACCATTATCAATTATGAGAGGAAGTCCTTTGTAACTTATATCGTATGGATGAAAAGGATCAGGTACCATTCGGGCATCTTTGAGTTCAAAGATTTGAACCGTTTCCTCTGAAATAATGCAACAGAACATATATTTTTTGTTTTACAAAATAAAGTCTATATCCCAGTCCTCATAGTTGCTCATGAAAATTTTTATTCTAAATTATTATTACAAAATGTTATCTCATAAGAAATGTTTACTCTTTCACAGCCATATATCAAATACATAGTTCTCTGAAATGTTAGCAACTTATTTTACATTAGTACAATAATAAGTTGAACAAATAATTTATCACGTATAATAGTATAATTTAAGTTATTAGTATAGTAGCATACATGTTACCACCAAAGCCTCGTAGCTCACAACTGGGAGTTATGTGGGTGCTTTTAAGTACAGTATCGCACAACAATTTTAATTAGTATATTCAAAAATTTATTTAAGTAAATTTTCAATACAAAATAAGCTCTGTTAAGGAAAAATAAAGATCTGAAATATAACACAGTTGGTACACAACTTTTCAGTTGTGTACCAAGCACAACTGTGTAGCACAACTGTGAAAAGTTGTGTACCAAGTTGTGTACACAACTGAAAAGTTGTATACCAAGCACAGTATTTTGTAATTTCCTAGTTGAACATACTGTATATCTTGACATTGTGGGCCTACTAAACAAATTGATTAGTTACGAGGTATCTGAAATTTCAGTGGGTAATACGGTACTGTACTGTGCTAAATCCTTTCATATGCCAACTACTCTTCAAAATTTATCAATAAATTTGATTTATTC